ATAAAAAAGTTCAAGAGCACACATCGGTACATAACATAAAACTTTACCAGTGAATATCATTGCACATTTAACTAGACCAGTTATTGTCACTAACAGATCGTTATGCTCCACCGTACAATAATCCAGACCACCCCCCACGCGCTCATTTACTCCTTTCTTCAACAAGTCTAGCACGTATACATGTACACCCCCTACATTCCCTCGAAAGCATATGTCGCAGACGAGAGACAGATACAAGTACACACCCAAATTCCCATCGAAACGAGACGGAGTAATAAACTCGGGCATTCTCAATGACCACTCACGAGAGAGCGTTTGCCAAGCTTCTTGTAATTGGCAACATTGCCTCCCTTTCGACTGTTTGGTCTTTGAAATCGATACGCGCTGAAATGCTCCATGTCGGACATGTGGAGCGAAAAAAAAAAAAAAAAATCAGAACGAAGGGAACGAGTAGGCAAATAAAAAGGTGGAGCTCTCGCTGAGCAAATTTGAGTTAAAAATTGAATTCGCTCGTCGCCAATCGCCGCTCCTGATTGCTAATCAGCCGACGACCCAGGTATGCGCAAGCTTGTCCCACTCTCGGATTTACCATGGACTTTAATGCAAAACGAGGACGAACTCCGTTCGTTTGTTGTCTAATTGGAATTTAGTTTCTTTCTTTTTTTTTTTTCAAGCTATCGTAGTCGATGAGTTCGTGAAAAGTATGGAATTTTGTTCCAGTTGGTGTACTCGAATCGATACGAATGAATATAAGGTCAAATTACCCTATGGTTATATTAAAAAGTCCGATAAAGAGAGCAGCACAGCACTGCAACCTTAATAATCCAGATACAAATACACGTCACGGAATGTTTTTTATTTTTTCAATTGCAAAAGGAATGTGAATTTTTTAGAGCCAATAAGAGAAGGATTGCACGTATTCCTTTTAACCGAAACTCTTGCACTCGTTATTACGTATACATTTGTAATACGGTAAATACTTTGAAACTAAAAAAAGCAGAAAATAAAAAACTGATATCAGCACGAACCGAAGAATTTACCTTCACACGAGATTTCCTACGCATGACCTCCTCCATATCTATACAAGAACACACGTGTACCAAGTCTCAGCGACTTCTTCGATAAAAAAAAAAAAGTATCGGAAAGCTGGTATGGTATCGACATAACACCAGCCGGCGTTTAAGGCTGCCACGAGGGAAGATTATACACACACGACGTATGGAAAGGGAAAACCCAAGGACGCGATTCCCCTGCCCGAGGCGATGTTTCGATTGCGCTGCTGTTTCCCTGATCCTAATTCTCGCCCTCTCTGCTCCCGGCCCATTGTATTTCATTCTACCCTTTTCTTCAGGCTTCAATGCGATTTTCGAATATTCACCATCTCAAGTTATTTTTTACCCCTTACACCAATCACATAAATTGCGGATGTGGGAAAGAAAGAATTATTTCACATTTTTTTTATATGTGTCAGAGTTCAGTCTCTGGGAGTGTTGGAGAATGGGTACTACCTGTTTATCAGCAACTGCCGATAAATATACATATATTTCATGAGCTCACGGGTATACAAGATTGCGCGGTCTTCCTCATCATTTTAAGTCCCCGGCTTGTTCGCTTTACCTGTTTTCTCGAGCTTATTATTACGACGTCGAGCAAGTTGCTTTTTATCTCGCGCGCGCGCGCTACTTGACACTCCTTTTGTGTCTCGCGCTGATCTTTTTTTACCCGCCCTTTCTCCCACTTTTGTTTATTCTTTTGCAAGGGTAAATATAATAACGTGTGTTGTAATTTAAATATTTTTAGAGATGCATTTTTATAATTTAAATCATGATGTCTACTGTGTATAATATTCAACGTACGCGTGAGTAATATTTTGGTTTAACAAAGGAAACGAAGCCACTCAAGTTGTGCTTGTCGAGGATGATTTGTGCACCGTGTGTGCCGTAGCGGCCAATTTTTCATCATCCCGGACGAATAAATCTTAAGCCCTTTCTTTAATAAAATACAAAAGTTCCTCGCATGGGGTACCCATAAATATCTTCGGGCTGCCGTGCTTTTCCCTCTACAACTGGGAGAACAGTAAATATCGAATTTTTCCCATTACTTGATGCAGCTCCGAGTTTTTGCTCGCCAACGCGTGGAAAAGCTTTCTGAAAAATGTCTAACAACGAAAATGGCACTATACCCGGGAGTTTTTGTTTTTTCACTACGATATTGTGGGAGGGAAAAAACAATTTTTCCGCACTCGGGTGGTTTTGGGAGGCTGGTACTTCCTTGGGCGAAAAAGCAGTTTTCCGGAACTTGTTCGAAAAGTCTCCTTTACGAACCTCGTTACGTCCCTCGCCTTCGGCTCCGGCCGCAAACCTCTCGGCTCGCAAACAGAGACTTTTCAAACTCGTAGGAAAACTACCATTTCCGCCCTCGGGTGGTTTTGGGAGGCTGGTACTTCCTCGGGCGAAAAAGCAGTTTTCCGGAACTCGTTCGAAAAGTCTCCTTTACGAACCTCGTTACGTCCCTCGCCTTCGGCTCAGGCCGCAAACCTCTCGGTTCGCAAACAGAGACTTTTCAAACTCGTAGGAAAACTACTATTTTTGCACGAGTTCCTAACTACGTGTTTTATTTTTATATATAATACGATGATTAATGACACAAAAATATTAAATATATACTTATGTACAACCTTAAGAGATTTTAAAGGAAATTGACACAGTACAAATTGTGTCCCATCTCTTTTATCTTGGCTGTGTATTTGGGAGACCGTAAAAAAAAAAAAAAAAAAAAAGTCATCACTCCACTCCACACAATGAAAATAGTAGTTTTCCTACGAGATTGAAAAGTCTTTGTTTGCGAACCGAGAGGTTTGCGGCCCGAGCCGAAGGCGAGGGTCGTAACGAGGTTCGTAAAGGAGACTTTTCGAACGAGTTCTGGAAAACTGCTTTTTCGCCCGAGGAAGTACCAGCCTCCCAAAACCACCCGAGTGCGGAAAAAAATTTATTAGAAAATTCTTTCCTTTCTTGTTTAGATTAGATAATTCTAAAAAAAAAATTTTTTTAAATATCTTTCTTTACACAATTAAAATATTTACGTTTCAAGTTTTTGTGATTTAGATTTTGAGTAGTTCAATAACAAACATTCATTAAAATGCAGTACACTGTAGTGTCAATCAACAACACCAACTTGGATTGGAAATGGTGCAAGTCCATCAATTCTCTAATGAAAGTGTCATAGTACGCTTTATCCCTTTGGCCGCTAATTACTCCACACACGCGTATTTTCATGTATACGTATCATTGCTAAAAAGCAAAAAGAGAAAAAAAATCCCCCTTAAATACACCGGACAATTTAAAGTATGGCGAGGAAACATGCGCAGACTGATAAATTGCAGTTTTATCTCGGTTCCTCCCTCGTTTTCTTTACACCCCAAGTCCAGACTTTACTTGCCACGAGTGGTGGTCTCGTTAAGTTACATTACCCCGAAGCCTCGCCGTACACGCCCACCCTCTGTGCAGATATACATCACACGTCCACGTATACAGAAGCACAAATCTCCGAATCCCGCCCCAGCACGGGTTTATATACATATAGAGCGTGGTTTTACCTGACGTGTGCGCATACCTTTAGCGTATTCGAAGTCGGAGCAGCAGCTTGAGGGAAATGAGAGGGAGGCAGTGGTAGGAAGGCGGAATAAGGCCTCGAAACTTTGCTGCTAGAGCGCCCAGGCCTTTAATTGAGCTTCCGGAAAATTGCTCCAGCCACCGACACGTAGTAGGCATTTCACTCGCGACTTTTTATCTATTATTTCGTTTTTTTTTTTTTTTGTTACTCAATTGATGGAAGACAGTCATCTTGACCGTTTTTTTAAGGCAAGATAGATTGACAATGACGGAGTGTTCTTAATTTTTTTCACTAGATCGAAGGTTTTCGGAATTAAAAAGTTGACTTATTTATTGCAATGAAATAAGGTGTTACGTAGGATTCTATAGTCTTGGGGTGCGCATGAAGTGAATAGTCGTTAATAACAATAAAAGAATTTTTTGAAGGAACGAATGATTTTTTTCTGAGTGCAAGATACATGGCCACATTTTTTGTCAGTCACGATGTTATTAACATTAATATCCCACGTATTATTATAATTAATTGTCAAAGTCAGTACTAAACAGCTAGAATATATGATTTTTATTCCGTTATCAANAAAAAAAAAAATAATAAATAAAATAAAATCCAGTGCTCTTGTTTATTTATTTTTCAATAAAAAAAGGAAAAAAAAAAAAAAAAAAAGATCAAGAACACTCGCTTGTACGTGGCTTTTCACGCTTGCATGGGGGGACTAGCTAACGCACGTAGACCTTATCATCTCTGCGCCGAAGAGAAAAAAGTCCAGACGGATAGAAATAATACGGTCCTTCCTGCTTTTGTAAGCGCGACGACTACGCGAGCCCTCGAGCCTTTGTGGTGGTGCAGTGCATTATTGCGTTGATGTAGCTCCCCTAGACTGTGTTTGCTTTGATCTGCAAGGTTTTTTTTCTTCTTTTTTTTTCCTTTTTTAATTCACCGTTCTCTCTTCTTTTGTTTTCCAAGTTTTTGAAAAGCACGCACACTTAGTGCCATTTGACAAAAACGAGTTAAACAAAGTTCAGAAATGGTTAAAAAAAAAAAATGGTGTAATAGGGAATGGCGTATTTTGGATGAAACCACTCGATAGAGAGAGAGAGAGAGGGCGAATTCTTCGGCAAATACTTCGACCGCTATTCCGGGAAAAAATCTCAATGAAAACTTTCAATAAAGCGAGTGGCAGCGCATAGCCGCGCTCTGGCGCCATACCATCCCTCCACGAAACAACGCCAAACTTTGGCCAATTTCGTACTCCACTTTGCATACATAGGTCGGCGTGTGAACGCAATCATAAATCCAAAACAATACAGCCGAAAGAGAGAGGAGGTGGAAAAAAATGTTTTGTCTTCCCACGATGATTGTTATTGTTGGGGAAAAAAAAAAATTTACAGGCGCCGTACTGTTCGCCAACCCGATGCGAAAAGCCGAGTACGTGACGATGCTGGACCCGTTCCAGCAGCACTACGGGGCTAGGCTGGGCGGCGGCCTCATGTTCCTGCCTGCCTTCTGCGGTGACCTGTTCTGGTGCGCGGCCCTGTTGCGCGCCCTCGGCGCCGCCCTCAACATCGTCGCCAGCATCGACCTCGGCCTCGGTGTCGGCGCCACCGCCCTTCTCATCGCGCTGTGAGTATACTTGGGCTCATAGTACATTTGCATGCTCTATTGCCTATGGTGCTCGGCACGCCGAGAGCTTTTTTCACTCGCAATGAATGCTTAAACTCTGTACGGCAAAGTTGTGGTTGAGAATAAAAGAAAAAAATAAAAAAAAAAAAAAAAAAACAACAACAAAAACAAAAAATTGTACCTGCTTTTGTCTTTATTCGAAATACCAATGTTGAGTCAACCAGTAGCAAAATATGGCAATGCAGGAATAACAAAATGTAGAAAAGTACGCACAAAGTGACAAATAATCAAGGGACACGTGACCTGCAAGCACAGATTTAAAGATAAATATCTTCATAGGGATTAACAGACCTAAAGTTAATTCGAGAATAAAAGACTCGAGTTAAAACTGAGGGGCGAATTTATACTGTTAAAAAAAAAAATAATAATAATAATAGTAGAAATTGGTAATAAAGTACAGAACCAGCCTCACCGAAGATGAAGCTACATAATTTTCACTGTTTTAGGTATTTTTGAACTTTTTAAATATTCACGATCACAAACAAATTTATGTATAATATTATACGCAAGTTAGTCAACAAATAACAAATTCAAAGTAAAAGCTTCAAAGATGGTGAAATACAACAAAAACTGTTGCCAACCACGTGTGCCCCATTCTACGTACGCATGTGATAAATATTCGTATATATATTACACTCAAACAGTAATTAAAGTACCACAGCACCAACGACTAATTGCTTTATTAATATGATATAACGTTGTAATAAGTGTGCATTGGTATTCTTGCAGGTCTGCGCGACCTTACCCACCCAGTAACGGTAGGTGTGGGTAAAATCAGAAGTAAAGGAGGAGGTGGAGGCGAAGGCGGCGAGGAAAAAAGATGGGAACAACAACAACAACGATGAACGTGGCGGGGGCGGCGGGCCTGGCCATGTTTTACGGAGTGGTTCTGTTCGTCGGTATACTGGCTGGGGCGTTCAAGAGGCGAAAGGCTGCCCGACACGCAGGGCAGAGCCAAATGATACTGGCCAATCGCAGCGTCGGCCTCGTGCTGGGCATTGCTTCACTCACTGGTAGGTTCCTATATCTATTACGTGCTAGTAACGGAAGAGATATAGTTCTGCGATAAGTGCGTACATGCTATTTAGGCATATCATAGCGGCCGACCCGGTTTAAGTCCCTTTTCATAATAATTACTTTTTCTAACAAATTGTTTATTTTTTATTATTATTTTTTTTTTTCTTGATACAATTTACAAATCTTCCACGTATGCATTTTATTATACTTGGACACAATTATTTTTTAGACTTTGAAGTACAATTTTTTTCCCGAAAGCATTTCTAGAAAATGCGTTCTCATTACTTCTTGTACCATAGTAAAATATTCAACAAAAACTTTCTAGCCCAAATCAACGTGATGTATTGAGAAATCTAATGTTTACCATCATAAAATATATGAACAAACTTTTAAGGTATTTTTTAAAAATATTATAAATATTTATTTGTTCAAAGAAATGCCATAAATTAAGAGAAAAAAATATTTTTTAGTCACATCATAGATATCATAATGTTCCATGCACCAGAAGATTAAATTCTAAAAAAACACTCAGCAAAGTGAATCCCAAAATCCAAAAATTAACTGCTCAAGTACGAGTATCATCACACTAAATACCAGCTAAAAAACGAATTTCATCTTCGTAGTTGTAAACTGCCAACCAAACCACCAGCACCACTTGCGTACAACCACGCAGCCGCGGCGAATTAAATATTTAAAAAACCAAGTAGCGCGCACGGCTCATTGGCAATTTTTTGCGAAAAGAATAAATTTTTTGCGGGAAATACTAAAAAATAAAGCATCCTCTTGTTTACCTAGCCATTCGGCTTTCTGCTCGACTTCAAGACTCCGGTACTTGGTGTTGTAACAAAAAAAAAAAAAAAAAAAAAAACCCGAGTTAAACCAAAAAACCACAGGATTTTCGTAGGTTGGTATACATATTTTGCGCGACACCCCCGCACTATTTCATCCCTCGAGAGCAATAAAGAGGTTTATAAGCTTCCGATTCCAGCTTCTCGGGGAATAAGCGGGAACCGGAGTAAAGACGGGCATTTTCTTTGACCCGCGGGTCCACGGAACAAAGTCGGAGAGGTGGTGTATGTATCTATACGTACACGCGAACGAGCTGAGGTGGCTCGCGCAAGTGGCTTTTTTTTCGTCCACTCCACTGCCCCTCCTCCTCAAACTTAAAGGGGGAGAATCGCGATACTGCACTTTTCTTTGGGAGTAAGGAGGGAAGAGTGCACCACTGGGAGAGGAAAAGCCAGAGCTGAGTCGAAATTTCCGGACGGAAGGTATAGGAGGAGGAGGAGAGGCCGCTATTGTGCGAAGGGATACAAGAGTGAGAATTATATATATATACCTGCTTCTAGGCTGGGTCCGTTTCGCGAGGAGGTCTGAGTGCGTCTGCATGGACTCCTTGGCTTTTATAACTAGCGGTGGGGGTCCGTTTGTTAATTATGGGAGAAACTGGGCGCGGCTTGGCGGTAAAAAGAAGCCGAGGGAAAAGTTTGGCGGAGCGAGAGGAAGCTTTCGATGATAAATGAGCTTGGGAGAACTTCGTTATTTCTGGACCCGGTACGTTATTTCATCGTCATACACTCGGTTGATTGCAAATCGCGGTTTCTCCTTTGGCGCATCTTTATTTTATGGAAGGGTTGTTTAATTACCGATACGTTTGCGTGTGAAAGATTCCTCATTATTTGACAGTCTTTCATACCCAGGGATTATTAAATTTTTGGGACTTTTCTTCTCAATGTTGTGGACACTTAGCAATAAATTTTAAAAATATGCTGTGGCCAGTAATTTTTTTTCTCTTACATTTACAATTATTGAGTTCAAAATCGTGGAGAACGAGAGAAAAAAAATGTGCATGTTTTTTTAGCTTTGCTAACTCTTCAAATTATACCATAATTGCGTTGAAAATTAATATTTTACGTAAGCCTCAAATAGCACGAAGGGGTGCCACACTGAATAACAGGATCAGGCGTTGAAGATCTCCTTATCTCGCAATAACAAGATTGCCACTTTATCAGCATAAAACCCCTATAGGTTGTATCGAAAGAGGGAACCACGCAATACTTTTCCAGCCGCATAAATGCTAATTTCGTGTCTCGGAAAAAAAAAGTTTCGGCAAGTGCACTCGAGCGTGTGTATACGGTAGAGCGTCCTATACACAACTCACGCCGAATAATTTCCGTTCGGAGGTGCAGCCAAAAGAGCCCCATCACGCCGCTCGACAGGAGCCACAGACCCGAAAGAGCGCCCGAAACTTTGGCTACCGGTTTGATACATCAGCTCTTGGGAAATCGCGTATCTGCTTATGCGATAGTTACTTGGGAAATCTAAATAACTGAAAGGACCGGGACGGGTAGGGGGGGGGGGAGAACTCACAGGGGCCCATTGTTTCGCTTTTCAAGCTCTGCTGCTCCGCGGAACCTGTGGATTAATGCACGAGCTGTTTGATTTGCGGCCTGCAGCTGATGTACAGTTACCGGAGCTTCTGGGAGCTGGGCTTAATAATTTGTTGATTTTCGAGGGACGACAAGTTCCTATTGGCTCTTTACGAGCTTGAAACGTCAACTTATGAATTTTACATAATACGGATCTGGGAACCTATACATATAGTGTATTATGTCACTCTCCTCAATCAGTGAAACTTTAGGTGCTGTTTATTTGTACCACCAATATTGTATTTTAAATTTAGAAAAAAAAATTTTGTTTTCAACTTGACGGTACTCTTATAAAATTGTTTATTTTAAATAAATTGGTAATAAAGTACAGAACCAGCCTCACCGAAGATGAAGCTACATAATTTTCACTGTTTTAGGTACAGTATGAATAAAATAACGAAGCATTTGAATGAAATCGATCGAAAGAGGTGAAACGACGCCATGTACGGGGTACATGACTCGTCTCTCTCTCCGTCTGGTCTCGCGTTTTCATTACGATATCGCTATCAGCCATTAACTTAATGAGTAGGCCCCGGAGTGCGATCGAGAACAAAAGATGAATGCCTACGCACGGGAACATATGATTAAACGCGCGGTGGAAGAACTTTGTTTAAGAGAGAGAGAGAGAGAGAGAGAGAGAGAGAGCACTTGAAAAATGAGAAATGAAAAGAGAAAATTGTGTAACCCAATTTGTGGGTGATTAAAGGGATTTTTGCCAAGTGCAAAAGTACTTTATATAAGTCAAATTTCCATCAATACAAAATTTACATGTTTCAATAAGAATTCTCGGGGTTTGTTTGATTTTACTAAGTACCGCCGGTTCTCGGTATCAAAACAATCAACGCGGCTGCACTTTTTTATTGAATTAATTTGAAAAATACTTTCAAGTCTTCTCTATTGATTCACTTTTAATCAATGGCATCGGTTTTAATTGAAACTAAAAAAAAAATTATGAGTACCAAAGAGAGGAAGTATCCCACAATGAAACCTCCGGTTCATCCCTTAGAAAAATAAATTTAATAAAATGGCAGGTACCTAAAAGTGTTGGCTCCCAATATTAAAAGAGCGAAAATAAGAGGAAACAATAGTAAGAGAGAAATACAGTGTACCCGCGCGTTCCCTCGCGGTTCATCGAGTCTCTGGGATTCGCTCTCGGAAAAGAGATTAATAAAATTCATAAAAGCTTATGGATGGATACATAACTGAGCTGGTGATTGTAATCTCTCGATACGAGCGCAAAACATTAAGCTAATTGCAGTTATACGGCGGCAAAGTTTTACGCCGCACTGATTAATATGATAAATGAGCATATGTACCTCTTTTACTTTTTCTTTCCCCAGCTATAAATTGTTTAAATTGGGCACATGTGGTGGATGAATGGATACTTAATTTAATATTTTCAGATTTTTCGTTTTGTTTCGTTACTATATTTAGCGGGTCATGTAGCTGTCTATTAAATTTTTACAAAAGATGCTTAATGAAAAATTTTTTTTCAACCGTTCCTGAATTCTACGTAAACTATCTTACGAGGCCACGTAAATTTTTAATGTTTTTACATGTATCTTAGCTATAATCTAAATTGGTAATGACTTTGTGAATAAAATGATATTTTTGTTACAAATACCTGTACTTTGAAATACATGAGCGTGAATTCATTGTATAAACTATTGAGGAACAGCACAAATATTGTATTTTAGAACTTTGGTGATAAATTTTTTTGCTGATGTATGAATATTAATCATGATTCAGACAAGTTTCGTTCAATCATTGGAGTGTACAATAACGAGTGTGAAAGCGATCGCAGCATTTAATCTTTTGACATGGGATTTTTTTTTTTTTTTCATCAAAATTACAGCAACGTGGGTTGGTGACACCTTCGTCAACGGGACAGCGGACTGGGTTTTCAGAAAAGGCTTGGCCTGGTGCCAGGTGCCCATTGGCTACAGCCTCAGTCTTCTTTTTGGTAAGTTAATGTTTCACACATTTTTTGTTCGAGGAAATGAAATGCTTCATTCGTCACGTAAAATAAAAAAAAAAAAAAAATTATGATTCGACCACTAGAATATTTACAAAATACAAGCAAAAAGTCCACGCCTAGATTGAAATGACGACAAGTCCAAGTTTCCAACAAAGCGCATTGCTGTATTGCTGTTGACGCATAAGAAAACGCAGACACGCAAGAACACATACACTTTACTGGCATGCAACGCAAGTAAAGTGTATTACCTATCATCCATACATCATTTTTCCGTACAAACTCACTCCTAAACGCGTGTCTCAAGGAACACCAGCTCGACTTGAGGAGAACGAGCAAGAGGGGCTTACCTCGCGCCACCAGCAGCACGCGCTGTAGTATCAAGATACCTCAAAACATACGCGTCTCTCTTTACACTTTCTCACCTTACGACAACCACTACCACTACCTATCATCCCTTGTAATACCCGCGTCGTACACAACACAAACAATTCCACGCCACTCCTCCTCATTCTCACGTGATCTTGTTACCTCCTTGCCGTCATGTACCTATAGTGGTAAAAGGTATAGAGGAGGAAGAGTTCTTGTCTCGGCTACTTCTGCACATGCACCACAACGACCCATACACACTGCCCCTTTCCCTCTCGTGTGGTTATCCTCCTCCTCCTCGTCCGCCCCTTTTCCATGTACAACTTGCGATATTTAAGCACAAGCCGGTAGTCTGTTACCCTTCCTCCTTCACCACCACCGTTACTGCGAGCTGGCTTGCTTATCGTAACGAAACAGGAGGCCATGAGTNTTTTTTTTTTTTTTTTTTTTTTTTTTTTTTTTTTTTCCTTCTTTCTTTCTTTTAATTTGTTTTTTTCCACTCGAACGCTTGGCTATGCGATATATGTCCATCATCAGACTACGAGAATCGTTATGATGCTATCTCGATGGATTTTGGAAACAGCCTTGTACGAGAGGTCATTCGAGATTTCTTCCACAAATCTTATCTGTTTTCATTACTTAAGTCTATCAACAGTGTCCTCAATTGTGTTAGATACACCGATGTTTCTGGAACAATCGGCAAAAATATACATTTCCGTCGGATAACAAATGAACAAATTCATTCAGGTGGGGTCAAAATAAACGTCACATGAGACACGACGGATTTCACATGGTCGCGTGGAGCTTATTTTTACGCGGAAGCCGAGTAGCCTCGCGCTTCGGGGAAGCGAGAACGCGCGCCCGCGATCTTAATCTGATTCCTTTATTGCTGCTGGGATGCTCCGGTGGCTTGCATCTTTTTGCCGCGTGAAAATCGTTGGAAATTTTTCCATTTGACATCAAACACATTATCGCCGACTACGGGGGAGAACGAAATACTATCTGGATACCTATCAAAATTATAAATGGTACGAGCGCTTTTTTTTTTTAGTTGAAAAACGTACCAGTATTTTGCTATACGTTGAGCTTTTAGTTGAATAAATTTTTGTACCGAATTAAATTAAGAGAGGCGTGTGAATTTTACCATTTTTCGATACGTTTTTATACTCGAGAACTCGGATGGGCATCAGTGTTAAGAAGAAATAAACGCCCCGTCCACAAAAACGGGTCACAGCAAAAAAATGAATGGAATAAACCCCTCGTACGATATAAGTAAATCCAAGTGTGCGCCCTCGTATATTCTTAAATTTTATTAAGCAATTTGTTGTGCACCTACGGGGATCAATACTATGATTTCATGAAATCCATTATCATAGTAATAATAATAATAATAATAATAATAATAATAATGTTGACGCAAAGATAATATTTAAATTAAATTTAAAAATACATGTTTGGATGTACAGACTTAAATTAAAAAATTGAAAATATAAAGACGAAAACAGGAAAAAGATGTAGAAATAAAATAGCAAAAAACAATACCAAAAACAAACGCAATTACATTACAAAGGTAAATTCAAATATGAAAGTAAGCCTATTTAGGTAAAGTACAAGTACGAAAAGTTAGCCCACAGTGAAACGAAACTTAATTGGCATATCCATACATACGTATGTAATTATAAACCCGAAAGATTGAACGCCGATACGTTTAGTCGCCAGCACACGTGGGTGGGTGCAACACACGCGTGCACATTGCACGGACGAGAAAAGCTGCAAGAGCGCTCTAATACGTATGTATAACGTACACAACTTGGGGCTTAAATTACTTTCCATGCAATTTGAATTTGACCCGCGGTGCTACTGCAGCTGATGCCCCGGTAAACTTTGGCTGACGCGTCCCCCGAGCTGCTGTTACTACAATCTTGCGAATCGCAAAATGGAGCGTATACGCGTGGCGGTGGATAAAAGTTTGTTGCGTGTCGATAAGAGAATCTATAGTAACGATGCTTATGACAATAATAATAACAATTATAATACGTAGTGCTCGATTACTTGATCTTTATCCAAAAAAAAAAACTCACAGATGTACGTAAATATTTTTTATATTTGCTCACTGTTATTTGAAGGCCTTAGTTATTTCACTATTAGTTTAAAGGAGTAGTTTTAATTTCTACATTTTTAAGAAATGCTTTTCAACACCAACATGCAGAAGCATTCGATACAGATCTATGTCCAAAACCACCTAAACAGCTACTTAACTAGCTCATAAATTTTTTATTCTACAGCTTTCTTTCGTAAATAAATGTTTAAAAAAAAACATAGATATCTTACACACTTTTTACAAACTCACACACGTAGATTTGCACCAAGGAAGCAATTAAAGAACGACGGAAAGAAATCCGTCAAACGAAATAAGGACAATTTGAACTTGCAATTTTACAAGTTTCAAAGAGAGACATCTTTCTCGTGGGTGCCGTTTCACGTATAACTCCTTGAGCTTTTTGTTTGTATACTTGCTACTAGCTACCTCGACTTTTTCATAAAAGCAGCTACTTTTCACAGCAGCGACTATAAAGGAAGAATTGGAGAGCTCAGAGAAAATACAATTGTCTACTCGTATACACTTTTAGCGACGATGCATTGAGCTAAAAAAAAAAAAAAACAAAGAAATTGACTCACGATGTTGTTTTTACGATCGACTTGTCGAGAGTTTCAGGAGAGAGATCTGAGAAAAAAAAATCTCAAGCTCACGTAGGTACTTTGTACCAGCGTCGGATGATTGCTTATCGAGTGCGAATGACATACCTACGTCGTAATGCATGATTTACGAAAAAGAGCTTGTAGTTCAAAATAATGGGAAAAAATATATCATCTCCATTCAAAGTTTCAAAAAATAGTAACATATTAATTTTTCAAGAATAAAGATACTCTTTTTAGATTAATTTTCTCAACCCAATTAAATATGAAATTAAGAAAACATTACATTTTCAACTAATCCAAATCTTCCCTTTGACGAAAAAGTAAAACAAAAATTCGTTTAATTGCAGAGGGAAAAAGTACAAAATAAAGTATAACTTTTATTCCTGGTAGATCTTACCTTTTTGGAGCTAAAAATCGAGATAGTACCTTTTTCTATTGAAGCGCCACATCAGTGTATTTTAAACCGAAAGATAAGTCGTAAACGTGTATATCGGCAAGGGGGCACTACTCCAACTGCAATCTTTCAAATATATAAATAAACCACCTCTTTCCTCGATAAAGAACAAAAAAAAAAAATAATAAATAAAATAAAATCCAGTGCTCCAGTGATTTACCACCTAATAGTTTAAAATCTATCATGTTACTTAACGGAGGAAACGTTATTCTACTACGTAATATAGGCTAGCAATAGCGTATGCAATATTTGGTCGTGAAGAGAGAGAAAAAAAAAATTATTTTCAGCTACACCATGTCGGGGGGCATGTACTCGGTGCTCTGGACAGGCGGCTTGCAATTCGTCTGCATAGCAATGGGACTGGGCTTGTTCCCCGCGTACGCGAACTCGCATCGGGCCGTGTCGCTGGAGAAAAGCCTGGCTGTCAGGGATTGGCTGGGCGACTTTAGCAGCGCCGATCTCGGCGAGTGGCTCGACGCCATGCTACTCGCCATTTTCGGAGGAATACCCTGGCAGGTAATGACTTGATGTTGATAAAGTATATTTTTGTCGAGCCTATAATATATATTTATCTTGCCTCGTTTCAGAGCTACTTCCAGCGAGTGCTGATAATCTGGCGTCCGTCGTTCGCCAGCACCCTGTCGATATTTTCGATGTTCACTTGTTTGGTGCTGGCGGTGCCCTCGGCGATGATCGGCATAATTGCCCGCTCGACAGACTGGTCGCTCATCGAGTCTTACAACAAGACCGTCTGGCGGGACAATGGTGGCGTTGTCACGTCGCTCGTGCTGAGGCACCTCACTCCTCCGTGGGTCTCGTTCTTGGGTAAGTCGATCGATGTGCCGACGAGGACAGCTTCGTTTGCCAATATACATATAATACGCGCGTAACACGTACCTATATACTTACGTACGTGTTTTGATGACAATCTCGGGTTGATTGTAATTGACGTACTTACTCTTTTCAACTTGTGCAGTGCTTGGTGCTATATCGGCTGGAATAATGGCCTCGGCGGACTCGAGCATTTTCGGTATTAGTTCCATGTTCTCGAGGAATATTTACAAGCTGACGATAAGACCGAAGGTAATGGTGTTTCGTGTGAAGTTTTAACAAACATTTTTTTAGATTGAATTTTTGTTTTCTTCTGTAGAATATGTACATTTAATTTTAAACTTTAGAATTTAATTTCCTATGAAGAAAAAAAAAATGTTTCCTTGCTCCCAGGCTACCGAAAGAGAATTGGACTGGGTGCTTCGAATTTCGATCGTGATAGTTGCTTTTCTTTCCGCAGCGATTGCTCTTAGCGTTAGCAGCGTTTTCTATTTAGCGTAAGTAATTTTTAAAGTCATACATTTTGAATTAGATGAGAGTTTATTTTTCATCGTAGATAAAAAGTAGTATAAAGCACCTTCTTTTGCATTACTTTTTACATCTTTGGAAGTAGATACGTTACAACGATGCTGGCAGGCTAATGGGGTACGATAAATTTATGAATTTATGGTTTCAGATACTTTTGCAGCGACATCGTTTACGTGGTGCTGTTTCCGCAGCTGCTATCGGTTGTACAATGGCCTGCGGCGGTCGATTCGTACGGATGCTTAGCTGGATACGCGGTGGCCGTAGCCATAAGAATCTCTGGTCAGTGTACATACTTATCCTTTTTTGATGTTTTAGGTTTAGTCCGAAACTTTCAGTGTAATACTGAAAAACCTTTAAAAGAATTACAAGTTTTTTTACTAAAAAGAATTTTGATACCATAATCACATTCCTGGAATAAAATTATAAATCATTACCAAACCAAATAACCGCCATAATCGACACCCCTGATGTCCTTATGACTGTGTATTAGGTGATTAAAAAAAAATATCGACCGATTACTTTTCCACAGGTGGCGAAAAGAGTCTCGGCATCCCGACGTTTGTCGAGTACCCGTACTACGACAGCAGGACGCACACGCAAAAGTTCCCGTTTCGCAGCTTGGCAATGCTATCGGCGATCTTTGCTCAGCTGATAGTCAGCCTCTTCACGCGCAATCTGCTCGGACGGGGTTATTTGCCGCGCTGCTGTGATCCCCTGAACGTCTACGCGCCCGGCAACACCAAGAATCCCAACGGGGTCGTCCAGAGCAGCTCCGGTGCCGCGCTCATCGATTGCGCCATGAACGTAAGCAGAGACGCCCCTTCCCCCCCATTTTTTCCCACCAGTTCCATTTCTTTTCTTTTTCTCGTACAACCCCATGGTAGTAGCACGCGTGCCCTTTTTCCCTATTTCTCTCTTGGGTATATATAGGTATACCAACATACGTATGTGCCTGCCTGCGTGTGCTTCTCTTTTTTCCCCAGCCTAATGCTTGCCGAGTTCTTTGACTATTTGCCACGATCCCCCTCCTCCATTTTTCCCTGCAACTCTTTCTCGAGTACTTAATTTTTTCCGCGCGACTGCTTGCACAGAACGAGACGCACGAGACGTACCCGGGAGCACTGCAATTTGTCAAGGAATGCATGGAAGCTGTAATTCCGCGGGAACAATTATTGTGGGATTAAGGGAGAAAAAATTTTTCGATAGTGTCAGGCACTTTTTTTTTGTAAATTAAAGTATAGATCACTGAAATGTCGACTTGAAAAAAAAAAGATGTTAAATTGCCGTACTCAAAGTAGATTCATTACAAATAACGAAAACGATCTAAATCAATACGTTTGTTTGCATTCAAAAATAAAAAAAAAAAAAAAAAAAGGATGCCTCGCCTGGACACCTGTCAGATGCTCCTACAACGTTATCGAGCAGCCGTACGGATTACGACGCGAGTAGCACCGATACTCAGCTCCAGCAGCCGCTGTCTCACCACCAGCAGCAGCAATTACATCAGCATCAGCAACAGCGTTACGACACCATAAGTGTTCTGTATGAGCCAAAGCAGACGCCCGGTAATGCTGCCCACAAGGCCAACCAAAGCTTGCAGGGCTTGCACGCACTGCGGGATTCAGTGAGCCCAAAGCAGCAAACAGCGACGGTTATGAGGGCTGGACAAACGCTGCACCACCCGTCGGCCATGATGAGTCAAGCCGCTTCCGGACAGATTCTCGGAGTCAAAAATCTCAACTTGACGCCTGGACACGGACCCGACTGCCACGGACCTCATCCACCAAGGATCATTAGCCCTACTGCGCCCTCGGCTATGGGTATGATCAACTAATGATTACAATTTTCAACTATACTGTATATATAAGCCAAGTGTTACAATGTGTTTCTCTTGTTTGAACAGGTTGTACACCATATGCTAAAGTACCCACTACGATAATAACAAATGGCAGGCTCGAGGGTGAAAAAGTGGGTGGTGATCGCAGTAACATGGAACTAAATTTGAATTTGACTGATGGTGGTGGGATTGTCAAGAAAAACATCAAGGGTGTTAAATTGATTGGAATGGAAGGAGGCACACTAAGGCGACCTTCTTTGCAGGTGGGGTGAATGTGAAAACTTATATTTATATTTATTATATGTATATATTTTTAATTTTTCAATGACAAAAAAAAAAGAAAATTAACTTACTGCAAGCGTAGCAATCCCAATAATAGTAACGCCATGCTATTATTTCCTCCCTGAGGCTGAACTTTCGATTGGCGAATAACAGAGAGCTAGACCTAAAACAATATTATTTAAATATAACTTTCTACGGCTCAGACTTACACACGAACCTCGTTTGTGAATGAGAGATTCTTCACTCTTGCGTACATTATAATACGTCTCTTCATACGACTTTTGTTTTGTAAATGAAACGAGCGTAAAAAACTGATGTCGAGATTTCATAGGGACAAGTCCACGCAATATATATATATCATAAACTTTCATTACTACGCTTTTTACGTCAAATAACTGTTATTGTTGCACTTGTTAAATTGTTGAACAAATCCCGGCTCTTTCCTCGAGCGTAGGTGTAGTGTACAGCGTAGGTTACATCTGAAAATTAACGATCGAACGCCATCCCGGGCCTCGGCACTCCTCGATATTATGAACATTGAACTCGTACGTATAACCACAAACGCGAACGCGTAAACACGGGGGCAATGTTTCTAAATTGTAAAAGATATATACTTAACAAACACCTGCAACGCGTATACTTTGGCCGGAACACAAACACACCCGATGGGGAAATAAGTACTTGAAGAGCAAGAACTGAGAAGAAATAATGTAAAAACGTTCGAAGTAAAAAATTACTCGGGAGACGCGCGCTCAAAGTCAGGGAAGGTTAGGTTCATGGCGGCCATTTTCGAATTCGACTGCGCAGTCGCGGAAGCGTCGAATTCGAATGAAGTTAATAGGTATTATTTAAATTTCGAGAGGTACTTAAGTAAGTATAAGGTAATAAAATTCTTTTGTATTTTACGAACTTGACTGGCACAGGGAACTTTTTCACCAACGCCATCGGTCGAGATGGTCAACATATTCGATCGGCGCCAGAGCAGCGGCTCGTACGGGCCAAGTTCCCTGTCGCCGATACCCGGAGTCGAGGCCTGCAAAACCCACGGCACCGCCGTCGGCGGTCAGAGTGGCAACGAGCACTGTAGAATCAAACGCGGCATCGTCAGGCACCACAGGTAGGTATACTTATTTATAACAAAAAGGCACCGACACCCAATAACCCCCTGATAAACACTCACACGCATGCATATATATGTGTTAACCGGCGACAGCTTCAACGACACGGGCGACCGAGGGTTAACCGCGACCTTGGCGCGCCAGCCGGCGTACCCGTCGATGCCCCTGACGAGTTTGCGCAAGGACGGCCAGGGCAATAAGAAAAGCTGCGGCAGCCAGACCCAGCACCGCTACTCGTCATCCCTCATCGACGACACGAGCGCCAGACCCGAGGAACAGACCTGCCTGGCTCGCACGACCACCCTGCGCAGGGAGAGGTGCAAGTCCCACCGGTACTCCTCGTACGTCGAGGACAAGCAGACCGGTCTCATGGGCCATTTGCTCGTCAGCCCGACCTACAGTATGTACAATTCGGCCGTCAAGAACTGCAGTAATTACATTGTCGTTGCCGACGACGAAGCTGTCAGCAGGTTTTAAATATCGTCCTTTTTATGGTACACCTGAATGATTGTTGTTTCTCATCACAGGTACGGCTTGTGATTTTTTTTTTTTTTTTTTTTTTATACGTTCAATGGTTTTTACACTATAAGTATTGTACTCGTTGTGGGAAGGTGCAAATAACGGCCGGGTACTGTTGAAATGTTTGTGTTCAATGGTTTTTTTGTGATTGCACAGTATTTTTCGACAATGGCAATACTTATATACCACACGCGGGTATATAATTGATTAACTTTTTTTACTCGTGATCTTTCAAAAATATATACTTTATCTTCTCGTGAGTTGGAATGTTAAAGATATATACTTGATGAGCAGAATATATATAATTGTATCGTAAGAACGTGTGGAGGGAAGGAGTCGGTGTTATTTTTTCATTGATTCCAAATAAAATTTCTGCGTCGTACATTTTGTAAATAACGATTGATTTTTCATTTTTTTATATCATTTCTGATTAACCTAACGGATTAGTAGAGTTTACATACTATAAATCGGTAACAATCATGGTCGTCCCTAGCAAGAACTGATAGATATATAATATCTTCTAGTCATTCGAGATTACTCTAGTGTAATGTTGTAAACAAAAATTTTTATGATTAAGATCGATTACATTGATGTTTGTTTGTAGCACTTATTATATAAAAATAATAATAATTTCGCAATATCAGTGCCTGCTTGAATACTCAAACGTAACTGTTACGGAAATCTTGTCCATGTGTTTGTGCAATTTTTATTCAGCGCTTAGTGATAAAATTATTGCAAGATTAATTTTTAGTAAACGCGACAAAACTTTTTTTTAACCTACCCTTCAACCTGAGCAATCAAATTGAGTTAGATCAAAGTAATAAATTTTTAATTTGTAAATACTGTTGCACTAGTATCCATATAATCGATAGATTAATATTTCGTTTTGTTAACCGATTCGTAAAAACAGTGAGAAATTCAAATAGCTCCGTCAAGTCGTAATTTCTTGCATGGAAATTACATTAAATCTTGAATAAAAAATGAATGCAAGACTTGAAAAATATCTCGTACATCCGTATTATGCCATTTTTGTGCAATTTTACTTTTTTTGGTAATTCTGCGTGATTATTTAGAATTTTTGGAAAGTTTTCTCTTTGAAATTAAAAATATCGGTGATCGCAGTAACATGGAACTAAATTTGAATTTGACTGATGGTGGTGGGAAAAGAATAGAATATGACAAGGGTGTTAAATTGATTGGAATGGAAGGAGGCACACTAAGGCGACCTTCTTTGCAGGTGGGGTGAATGTGAAAACTTATATTTATATTTATTATATGTATATATTTTTAATTTTTCAATGACAAAAAAAAAAGAAAATTAACNAAAAAAAAAGAAAGAATAGAATATGATGAGTGAAAGATCGCGAGCCATGTTATACCAATAATGAAGCATGTGGCACATTTTGTAATCTAGTGATAGCGGAATCGTCCAACTATTTACGTGCAAATTCACAGTAATTCGACAAAAAAAAATATACATATTTTTGCACCAACTTAGTCGTATTTAGTAAGATGTTAATAAGGGAACAGACTGGACAAATACAAGACTTTGAAAATCAATCATTTCCAACAGAAAGTAAAAAAAAAAAAAAAAATCATACGTGAAATTATCAAAGCAATACAAGCGCTTTTTATAATTAAATTTATGTTGTAAAAAAGTCTGATCTCTTGAGCGCAAAATACCTACGTGTAGGGTTGCACGATCTTATCGCGTGCTATTCGTGTAAGAATAATATTGCATAATTGGTAACATTATTAATAGCAACAAAAATTAATTATCTGCTAGCGTGATTTTCTACGAAACTTTTTACCTTGTTCAAAATTTATATACCATTACTGTCTTGGTAGACAAATATTTTTTAAATTACATCTTGCATATTAAATTTACCATTTTTTACGGCCAAAAAACTTTTAACTTTTTGAACCTTTAAAAACTTTGAAAAAACATGTGATGGAACAAACCTTTCGTACGAAGAAAAATTGTTTTTTCCGCGACACGCAATAATTAATACTAATTAAAAACCCTGTTTTATGTAGTAATCATTTTTATTTATCAAACAACATTTGGTAAACTTTGTTGAATAAGCGTGTCAACCAATATCAAAATTTGTAATACTGACAACTTTTTACTGGGATTTTGAAAAAAAAAACAAAAAAAAAAAAAAACCTTAAATTCTGAAGATTCCCCTGCGTTTTTGTACTCTCGACTGTATTAGCGTCCCTTTTACATGTATGCGAAAAAGTGTAACTTTTGTGTACTTTTGTAACATGTATAAACAAAAGATGTGCATCTTCTGCCTACCAACAGTATTATGAATTAGGCTAAGGATGAAGAATTTTGTGGATCTTCATGAAACGTCGAAAAAAATCACAACCGAATGGTCTAATTGCGTGATTATATATAATATAAACTCACGTTAGATGCTCGCAAGTAGCACCACGGAAAAAATTTAGTCGTTAGGCATCAAGTCATTGTACGATATGGTCACTTAATTAAGTATCTCCAAGGGTTGTATAGCTCTTCATGTTTATTAAGAATACTTGTATTAGGATTATAAAATAAAGTTTAAAACACAGTAAATCCCGATTAAGTGATTGTTTTAAAAAGTGCCTCGAAATTTTGATTAATTAAACAAACAAAATCGAGTCTTCGAAAAAGTGACGTCCTCATTCATACCTACACAAAACAGTAGGCACCTGCTTTCTTGCGCAATTTATGTAAAAATTATATAAAATAATGCTCACCAAAAATGTTGATGTAAAGAAAATTTAGTCGTATAAGAAAAAAAAAAAAAAAATTACACACATAAGAAAAAGCATGTATCTTACCTTATATAACTTATAGATAATAAAAAAAGCCGTATTAGACGTATAAAATTATAACGTGTAACTTTTTGTTTTCAATTTTCATTCATAGGCGTTGCTGTACATGTTGATGACGGCAGCGTCTTGAAAAAACGTGAATCGCGTGCCAAAGCTTAGCATTTACTTAGTAGCGTAATTAGCGCGTAATCGTAACGAATAACGCGAGAGCATTTGTGCTTATTATCAAAGGCAAAAAATGCAGCCCAAACTTTATAAAGAGGCTTGTAGGACATAAGTTGTTAGTAATTATTAATTAGCCATAGTATTACGTTAAGTAATTTATTAAGTAATACTGTAATTAAATGTCTCTTGTATATCTTGTAAGCGAAAATTTTTCTTTGTTTTCCTGTTTGTGATTCTTTTAAAATTTTTGCTTGTCTTATACAATTGAAATTGTTTTGTTACTAAAAATTTTTTAAATACTTGTAAAAAAATGTAGAATTTAAAAATAAAACTTTTTTTAACTTAAGTACAGTTATTGGATATACTTGGATGTTAACGTTTATAATAATAAAATAAAAAAAAGTGTTGAAAAAAATGATGGTTTCAAAAAAATTGTTCAATCGACACAGTTGTTTACTTGCACATAATTACACACAATTATGTATAATTATATGTGTACACACTTATAGATATTTAGTATTTTATAATAAAAAATGTATTAACAAAGAATCTAAATTTTACACAAACCCTAAGAACTATGTGAGGGTTTGAAAAAATTATGAGCATAAAAAATGTAGAAAAAGTATGTGTAACGTTTATTATTTATAGTGACTGTCGGATCAGTCATACGCACTTCATTACAAATAATCAAAATGGCGATGCACTCTCGTAAGCATCGAAACGATATTTTTTTACTCGTTATCTTATTTCAACCGATACAGTTCGGTGATCCGAACATTATTTTACCGCGTACTTACACAACTAAATTTAATTATCAATTTTTTTTGTGTTTAATCATTTCGTGATTACTAACAACTAATTTGCAAGGAATAATAATGACGTCCGGCTTATCATAAGGTCGAATGAAAAAGCGTTGACAACTGCAAGTAGACACGAAATACTAAACAAATAAGTAAGCTTAACAATTGTATTGTTTGTCGCTACATGACACATCGGTTAATCTAAAGTTAAAAATAGTGGGGTAAGAAGTTTACGAATTCTTACTTTTAAAAATAAAAAGTTTTATCAAATATTTTTCGATTTCAATCATCCAATGAAATTATTTGCCAAGATATTTTTTATTAAAATTTAAGCGTTGAACAAAAAATTTTTTTAAACTATATGAAATGATTTTGCTGATTTGAAATAATAAGAGTTAGCTAGTATGGATTATACCAAAATTATATTTTCACAGAACCTATTTTAACACATTATGCAAATATGAGTTTAGAATGTTGTAATAGCAAATTTGTCATATAAAAAAAAAATTCTGATGAACAAAATTATAAGGGTAATGCACTACATAAAAAAATGTTATTCATTCAGTGCAAATTTTGTATCAGTAAGTCTGAATTTCCAAATTATCTTTAAAAAATTTCATTACATAAAGTATATATTTATAAATGTATATAATAGTAATGCAATTAGTGAAAAATCTTTACCCTAAGAATTACGACCCTCACTCGAGATAAACATCTCAACGGTTGCGTCTTGCACACCTTACATTATGTATCAAACTTTACGTCTCCAAGTATAAATACACTTCTTTCTCTTAATGTAAAAACTCGCATCTCTATAGTATTTTAACGATACACATTTACGTTTATGTTTCATTCAACCTGACACAATAAAAATAGGCGTCGGAAGAGTTTTATGACTAACTTTCCAGTAGTCGTATTTTGTTATTTTCAAAATCAACTGTTATTTAAAACAAAAATAGTTTAACACTCTGACTTGGGAAAGAAAAATTAATCATGAAACAATAACGGTTTTTTTTTCTTCAAATACAGTTAAATTTCAGTACGTGTGGATTCTCAATTGAAGTTGTGTCACCCAATTAATTACAATTAAACTTATACGTAGCCAGCTCACATAAAATAAAAAAAATAAAATAAAGAAAACTATTTCAAAATAGCAAAGAAATTTACACTTATGAATTTGAGAAAAAAAGCCACAGAATACTCGTCCTGTCATCTTCGTCGCACTTAAGAAAATACAAAAATTCTCGTCTCTTTGGAACATTCATTGGGTAGCCAGCGGATCGGTTTCTTCGATCTCGCTAGCATTCAACGAACATCAAGTGGTCTTTGAATGCGCTTCAGCGATATGTGATTTCAAATCATCGTGGGAAGGATACCTCTTTTTGCAATTCTGACAGAAGAAATTGTGCATTTTGTTCATGTGATCGCGCAGATCTGCTTCTGTATTAAAGAGCTGAGGTCTCGGACAAAAATCGCATACATAACAACAAACCTGTGAAGTTGTGTTTTGAGTGTGAGCAGTACCGTTGTGCTCCATCAATTCGCTATTCGTAACAAAATAAAGGTTACAAAGACGACAACAGAAACGCTTGTCCATGTTATGGACACTAATGGTCGCCCCACGGCTGGTCGGCATCGCATGACGCGTCCGCTCAGGCATCTGACAAACTGACACGTGCTTGCCAGGGAGTCGTTGTTGCTGGACCTGATATTGTTGCTGATGGTGCTTAACATGATTGACTGGTGTTATTTGGCTCCCCGCGTGGATTTTCTCATGCGTGCGAAGCACGCCATGATTTTCTGAACGGAAGTTACAGTTGGGGTACTTGCAAGAGTAGACCTTTGCCTGAGGCTGTTGTTGCTGCTGCTCTTGGATTTGTTGCGATTGAGTGGAGTAGTTCATAGTACTATTGTACGGATTGGCATAACTTCCATCACCCTGATGTCGACTGTAGGTTTTTCCTTGGTATTGACTCGGCCTAGACAGTATATTAGGCAACATTCTAGAATTGGCTTGTGAGGTAATTCTAGCTTGATCTTCATTTGTATTAAAACGAGCACGAAAATCCTGTTCAAAGAAAGCAATAACGTTATTAAAACGAAATACAAATATTCAACGTAACTAGTAATTCAAAGAAATTTACACTTTGACGTTGTTCAATGACATTTTCGTACGGAGGTGGCATACTCTGCTGAGGTATCCTGGTCGCAGCACCAGATGGTCGTTTGGTAGTTGGTGCATTGTTGCTCATTGCATTTCTCTCGGGCAACTGTATGGCACCTGTTCTACTGGGCGACATTGTGCTTGGAGCAGCATTAGGATGCGAAGGTAATGGACCTCGAGTAGAGTAATTCATAGGAGGCATCACGTTGGCATTTGAAAATTGTCTTCGAGCAGCGTTTGACTGTTGCTGTTGTGCTCGATTGACACTAGTGTAGTTCACTGTGTTGTAATTAACGGTAGGCTGTTGCTGGACTGTGTCACTGTTGCCATTGCAAGCAGCAAACCAATATCCTTGCTGCTGAGTTTGGACTTGACTAGGAATGGCTGACGAGTTTGTCCTTGTACCCATATCTGTAGTTAATAAATACATTTATACGAGTTAATTATAAAATTCCTTGAGAATAAGCAAGTTAATATCAACCAAATGAATTTTCTTACTGTTTGAAGACCCTTGACCTCCCGAGGAGAGCAACAACTTGTGTCGTAGCTGTGCAATCAATGTAGTTTCATTAGCGTTCTGCTTGTTTTGCATCACCATCGGTGTGATCATTTGAACAGGCGTGTCGCGTCCCATTTCACTACCAGCAGCAATGCTCGATACCCCAGAATCTTTATCGTGGACACGTTGACGTCCGTCGAAAGCTTGGGGTGAGTCGTGTATCTTCATCTGTTGTAGTTCAGCCACTGAGCGCACTCGTAGGAATGACTTCGTAGAGGAGGAACCGTCGTTCGACGAGTCCGGTGTGACCGCTGTTTGCTGGAGTTGGTCCACGGGGGACGCGGTTTCTGTGAGTGGTTCTAGGATGTCGTTCATGGGAACGTCGTCGCTGGCGTTGTCTCCGAGTTCATCCGTTACGAGAACTATTTCAAACGGCTGGGGCGACATTACGTCCGTGTTGGACTGCTTGTCAGCGCCACTGCTTGTATTCAAGGGATCTTTATTTTTATTTGACGAAGAACTATCGCTGCCATCTGACGTCTGATTATCATTCGTTCCTAATATAAATTCGAAATCTGGATTGACCATCGTCATATAAGATTTGCGTTGCGCCGTGGTTTCAGAAATGGACGACTTGTCGTTCGTAGCGACTGTACTCGACGTCGTTGGAGCTTGATTTTCCAAGACTGGACTATTCGATCGTGAGTCGAGGAATATCGTCTCTGGACTGGCTCGAGCGGCTGCTTGTTGTTGTACTGGAACTTGATTAAACGCATTTGAGGCCAGCAAATTGCGCAACACGTGATTCGGACCATTACTGTTTGACGCCTGTAATACGGTAGAGCCAGGTACTGTTACGTAGCTGACGTTGCTGTTCAGCACTGAGCTTAAATTGTGGTTTGACATTGACATCTGCTGCTGGCTTTGAGAGTTCAGTGGAACTAATTAAAAAAAAAGAAAAAAAAAGCTATTAGTAAAATAAAATCCGAACTTGTACCACTCGACATTGAAAAAGAACACCTTACCTGTATTCTGTGGTAATTGAACATTGACTGTACCATTAACAGATGGGTACTGGAGATAAAGAGGATGCACTTGTCTACCACCATCAGGTGCTATATTCTTGTCAGTAACCCAAACCATAGCAGTCTGGGTATTGTTTGTCGAAAGATTAACGTTGCCCGATACTGTGTTGACAGTAGACACTGTTCCAGGTGTCTTCTCATGAATGACTTCGTGTTCCTTCATCGATTTTTCCGTTTCAAAACCAAACTTGCAGATACTGCACACATATCGTGCAGTGACAAAGTATATGAGACACGTAATAACTTCGCTTTTGTGTACCAACTTGCAATGCTGCATGAACTTTTCGTACGTGTAATTGGTCACGTCGTTGGACGGTACGACGTTACAGGTTTTACAAGTGTAGAGCTCCATAATTGGACTGTGCACACGTTTCCAGTGTTCCCTCATTTCGTCTATAGACTTGCTCATTGCACGACATAAACTACAGACGATAGCTTGTTCGGTTTCGCTTACGGGTACACGTGAAAATTTAGTGATGGGCGTTTTGAGATGATTACGCTCGGTGCAATGACGATCAAAGCCTTCCTTGTTTACGTAATACTTTTTGCACAGATCACAGATTAGCTTTATCATCTGCGTGTTTTTATCTAAAGTATCGGTACGAGTAATGGACGGTGCGGGCTGGCAAGGTGTTGCCTTGTGTTTTTGTAAATCAGGTTCCGAACTGAATGGTAGTCTATGAAAAAAAAAAAAAAAAAAAAAAAAACCGTAAAACAGTTAATGTTTACAGTAAGCTAAACATTTATCTCAATATGCGAACCAAACGTACCTGCATTGACGGCAAACATGTTCCGCTATGTAGAAAAAACCTTCTTGACTTTTATTCTGCGCCATCGCAATGTTTGAATCTTCAAGCACGGAGACGACGGATAGCTTGGGGAATGAGTATTTACTGGCCACGAAGTTTGGGCTTTTCGTATGGTTGTACCAATGATTATAAAAAATGCCACCAACACCAAAGAATGCGACTTTACAGATGTTGCAAACAAACGTAACCGTTCCTTGACAATTTTTTTGTGCATGCATCTCCAAATGTGTTCGCATATCCATCAACGAATTCAGGATGGATGGACAGCCACTGCAGAAGAGCTTCGGTGTTTTCGTGGTTTCATTCAACTGGCGCTTCTGTCTGCACTCGGAACTCGTGCGATAATGCACTTCGAAACAATCACGACGACGGAAAACAATGTTGCACGAATTACAGTGTAATACCATTTCAATCTGCAAATCCTGACCAGAATTTTCATGCGCATGACAAGAACATATTAAAACGGACAATGTCTCTTGAGCATTGTTTGCTGATGCGTGCTCGGCTGTTGCATAATGTTCTAGACTAGCAGAGTTCGAGACCTGTAAATTTTTTTTTTTTAATTACTTTTTTATTTAAAACTAAAGTTATTTAAAATAAGGTATTCAATTATAAATAAAAAGACTAACCAGCTGCTCTCCTACAACAGGTACAGCGGTGTTACTTGAATCATCAACAATGATTTCTTCAATTTCCACAGACGATCTGCTACTGCACACAACGCTTTCCGTACTCTTCCTCTTGTCATTACTCTGATTGGTATTAACAACTTCCAAAGGCGGATTAGTATTCGACCCCTCGGATACATTTTGTTCAAGGCTCCGCTCGTGGGCAAGTTTTTTGTATGCCGCTTGTAGATCCTTTTCACTATGTTTCTGCAAATGCTGCCACAAATCATCTTTGGACGTAAATTCCTGCTTACAGACAGAGCATAGTGAACTGGTGGAGAAGCACTTCATCATCTTCTTTCTGGCCTTGGAGGCCTTTTTCAAAGCAGCCTTTTCTTTATCCTTTGTTTTGGAAGCATCGGAAGTTGATATAGGGTCTTTGTTTTGTACAGGTACTTGCTCCTCGTGATCTGTCAAAATAAATTAGTTTATGATTGAAACATATCAATTCATATTCTGTATGTACATTCTATTTATATGGGATGTTGTATGGCACTTACCAGTTTGCTTTTCTTGATTCTCTTCCGGACCTTCGTTATTGTCCGCCACTTCACCATTTTGATTAAGAGCTGTTGAATCACCAATGGTTGCCATGGATTCTTTTTCGATAAGCTGTACTGCTGCTCCATCTTCACCCATTATGACAATTTCATTTGGTAGACTCGACGTATCATCATCACTGGGAATGTGAGGTGATTCGCTTAGAGGAACCTGTGGAGAGGTGCCTGGCTGATGGTCGGGCTTCTTAGGCGTCGACTTCTTGGGTGATTCAGAACTTTTCTCAGTAATAACCATTAAAGGATCATCGTCAGCATCCTTAGTAAGTTCAACTATTGCGTCATTGTCATCTTGTGTGCCAGGATCAGACACACAATCTGAATTGTCAATGAGATCCGTGACACACTGGAGTTGTCTATTATAATTAACTGGAGCCCGCCAATCACAAGTGAAATTTGAGTTCATCAAGAGATTAACATACTTTGTAGTCAATATTTCGAATTCAGTTGCAGAAAGATCTTTGAAGTCGTTACAAATAGTCTCCAGTTTAATTAATTGAACCTTTAGTTTTTTCAGAGGTGGCTCTACCAAGTCTATACATTCTGAATCGGGTTGCTTGCCAAACAAATTACTTCGAGGCCTATTGACAGTCTTTGCTAAATTAGCACATCTGTCGTCAACATTATCTAGCCTGTCCCTTTGGTTTGGAGTTCCTTGAATTGAGTTCTTCGGAGTATCCGTCGTTTCATTGTTATTTAAAGACCTGGATTCATTTGAGGGAGTTACTGCACTTTTAGGAGTGCCAGGTTCTTGCTGTTCAACTATTTGCAAAGCTGGAGTGAGTTTATCACTGAGAGGAATTTCCGCATTGTTGATCTCGTTATTATTAGATTTAGATTGATTATCACAGCTTGTTAGTTGATATTCCAACTCCAAAGTAGTACTACATGATGTATTTTGTTTGTCTGCAATGAAGGCCTCTTTCTCTTTGTTTTTCTCGACACTGACCTGCAAAATTTATTGACAATAATTTAGCTTAGTCTTTAAAAGTTCAAAGCCAGAAATAACAATAATAATTTTAAAAAATGAAAAAAAAAACTGTTGTTCTTACCAATTGAGTTTCGTGGTGTTTATCAGGAACTTCTATTTGATTCTCCAACCCTTGAACCAACGAACCCAGACAAGGTGTCTTTGCTCTAACCTGTAGCACTGGTTTGACGATTTTCTTTTCAAGCACGCTCTTTGGGCGTACTTTATCCTTAACAACATCCTTATTAATCGCGTCATCTAGGGTAATGCCAGCAGCTCGACTCTTTGCACGTGTCACGCGAGTGGCTTCCTGATCTAAACTTTCATCGTCATGATTTCTCAAATGCGTTTTACGAGTGGTCGGTGAGCACGCTTCCTGATCAGAGTCTTCGTCTCCGTTGGAGTTTAGCCAGCCCTGACGAGAGAATTCCGCCACTTCCATGTCATCTTCGTCTTGCTCGAAATTCAATCGCTTAGAACGCTCAATTCCGGCTGACTGTTTAATTTGTGACTTCGTTGCAGAGGAATTTTCCTCTTCCGAATCGCTGTCGATGCAGTTGACAGTGCGTTTACGTCTTCTAAAGGTATTGTCAACGGATTCGTTGGATTCTCTAGATTCGGTGCTGATTAACCGATGTGCCAATCTTGAAGTTTCGTTTATTTCTTTTTCCATGCTAGTTTCAGTCTGGTCCATTGCAGTTTCTGCGGCTGGAACTTCATTAATAGTATTTACTTCGGTGTCCATCGGTTTTGTTTTTTGAGGGGAAGAAACCTGTTGAGGCTTCTCTGGACTTGGCTGTTCATTATCATCCGGTTTGCGACTTTCTGAGGCCAACGGCAATTCTGTCCTACCGCCAAGAACTGGCTCAGCCTTTGTAAGGTATTGATCAACTAGAGGATTGTGCGAATCCTCAAGCTTGGTCAAAAACACAGCAACGTCCTTTAACTTTGATTGCTTTATTTTTCGAGACATCAGACATTCGTTAGTTTTAGCGTGATGATCACTTGGACATTTTGTACAGTTCTTTGAAAACAGTGTACAGATGGTGTGTGCTGGTGAAGTGGGAATAGATTGGGGTGGTTGGTCTGTTTCCTTAGATATCGCTGATTGTTTATGTCTTTTGGTCTTGGACTGTGTACTACCGACCTGCTGAAAGAAATAAGACAATCATTTTATTGAAATAAATGCAGTATTTTTGGTAGAAATCGTAAAAATTTGTTTTCATTACCTGAGTATCTGTTTCTGGGTGCTCGTCACGTTTCCTTCTGAATTTCCACTCTCCATTACTGATTGCTGAATCGGATTTTGTGCCATCATTCAAAGTAACGCTAGAATCACAGAGTTCACTTGTAGGCTGATTATCCAGATTTGCAGGAACGTTATCACTGTTGCATTGTTTGACTTCTGCAATAAGTTTATCAGCATCAGTCGTAAGTGTCTTATTTTTTTCAGGTTCACGAAGCGAACTTGTGTTAAGTATATCAGTACTGGATCTTGCATTTGGATCCCTCACTTTACGAGTTATCAGTGCAAAAGGTACTGTTCTGCTACATCTGTTCTTTCCTAGATAGGGTCTTGTTCTACAGCAACTCGATCCTGTATCATCATCGTCACTGTTGGCTAAGTCCATCAAGTTTTCATGGATTTTTGAAGTTTCAGCTTTTTTATCACTCATGATGTTGCTTGAGTCCGTATTTTCTTCATTAGATTTAGCAGTTGCCAAATTACTTGATTCGCATAGTTCTGGGACAGTTTCATTATTGGAGTAATTCAAATCAGTACTTGTGACATTCGACGTACATATGTTTAATGATGTATTGAACTCTGCAACTGACTCTACAAGAGTCGAGTTTATTTTATTTGTTTTAGAAGAAACGTTCATTTTTTTATTTACACTATTGGAAGAGTTTGATTCCGCGTCAACATCTTTAGAAGAAGAAACTAGATTTCCATCATTATTTTCAAGAGGAAGACGTATCCTCTTTTCGACTCCGTTTGATAAATCTAGTTGTGTGGAAGAGTTTGCCTTTTCTCTAGCATCAGTCGCTGAAATTACTTCTTTCTCTACATCTGGACATGGGCATGATGATGTGGCTTCAACGCTTTCAGGTACAGAATCCGACTTTTGATTACAATCACTAGGTCCATCTAATACGATTGGTCTGTCAGGAGCACCAGGTGGTATGACCTTGGGACCAGGTTTCGGATTACCTCTAAATGGAACAGTGCGGCTACAACTTTCAATCTCTTTGGTTTCATTTTTCTTGGGCACATCATTGGATTCTATTTCAGTCAATTCTTTATCCAAACTCTTGGCAACATTTACATTTTTTCTTTCATTACCACTCGTGCTTTTGCTTTTGTTTAACTCATTTTTGTTAACGCTTGCAGTCTTATTTTTTTCTGTTGTATTACTTTTAGATTGGTTTGCAACAGAGGTATCACTTTTAAAACTTGTTTCAGGTGAATCCTTATGTTTTTTGTCAGGAATAGATCCAATTTCGGCTATTATGATTTTTTCAGCATATGCCGCTCTAGCAGCTTTTGTATTTAATTTTCCAATAAACGGTAATGTTCGCCTGCAACTATCTTCCTCTGCAGAAGTTGCACTTTTTACACTTTCAATTTCTATATTTTCTTCATAAAGCACTGATTCATTATTTCTCAGACTTCTTTTTCGATTTTCTTTTTTATCTTGATGCACTGATTTTGACTTTTGTTCATCAATTAGTTTTCCTCCGAGTGATGCATAGATTTGTGTCTTTTCATTGACACTGACTTCTTTATTTTTTTGACAAACATTTTCATCGCTAGGACCCTTTGAACTTGTACTGGCTTTAGCTGTTTCACGATTTTTAGACGGTTTCTTCTTTTTTTTCATTATGCCCAACTTCCATTGACTTTTCTTTCTTCGACGAATCTTATTTTCCACTGTAGTAAGGATTTTTGGTACAGCCTTTGAAGCAATTCGTGTCACTTCAATGGAAACTGGTTTGCAAGAGGTTAGGACTTCTTCAGAACTGAGCTTTTTGAGTTTTTCTTCTTTTTTTCTGTTCCTCATTTTTGCTGCAAACACTGTGTTACAAAATTTTTTCTGAGGTGGCTTCTGCACATTTTTTTCCACCAATGCACTTTGTTGTGAGTCCTTATCACGTGGATTTAGTTGTGTTTCTTCCAACAAAGCCATTATGATTGTTAGCTTTCTCACAGCTATTAAATATAACTTGTTTCATGCAAACTCATGAAAATAATTTTATAAGTTCACGATATTGTCAAAGCCCAATAATGCAATTGTTTGATTCCTGAAAGCACATATTATTTATTCTAATTGCATGTTAAATCTTTATAGAGGTTTTGTAAAATAACATAGTGACATAAATGTAAATAAAATAAAAACTGTTGGTAGGTACTCTAGCATAGGAAAAGAATAACAGACTTTTCTGGTGTGGTATTGATCACCATTGTATTCTTTGTGTTATTCCATGAAAAATTGTAATTGCACGGTTTGTAACAATATTGAATTTTATCATTTAAATTGTTGCTACTAAAATGATCATGAGTTTTTTCAAAAAAAATTTTATATAAGCTATTTCAAAAGCGTTAAGAAAAAAAAAAACTGAAAACTGAAAAAGTCTCATAAGAAGAATAAAAAGACAAAGGCAATAAGTATATCTGTGCACAAACGTACAAGTCACAACAGCGATGATTTTAAACGCTTACCAATTCGAAAATTACGTCATTTTATACAATTTACGTATATATATACGAGTTAAAGATTAGACAAAGACAATTAATGATAAGCTGACTCAAAGTAATCCGAGGACTATACCTTAACGCAAGTCGTCAATCTTGAATTTCTCAAGTAACCCAACACTAAGTGAAAATCACAGATACAAGGGCACATGTGTCTACATGAAACAATCGCCCTCGCAAATGGCGACGAATAAGAGAGAAAAAAAATATAAGATGCCAGAGTCTGATACGTATAAACAGTGATACGTGCTATGAGTAAGTATGCGGTTGCAAGTGGGATGAAAATTAATGTGTGTGTGGGTGCAATGTAAAAATGAGATCGCGATATTCGCGATCATGTCACATCATGAAAGTGTTACCGTGAAAGTCACATGGAACGAATACATCATGTTTCAGCTAAAATACTTTGACGAGGTAAGACTTAATTAGTATACCTACACGAAGATGAGGCGACCTAACACATTATTTTGCGTGTATATCGGCATACCTTATAGAGGAAGTGTGAAAAAGATACGAAAGGTATACGGTACTCGCTACTCGGTAACACACTCACCATTTCAGACGACAGGGGACAGTTGATTCTTATTATTCTCAGACGTGCAGCTTATTTATTGCTTCTGTCCGAAGAACCGCAGCGAAATTTAACACGTTAAGGAGCACAGAAAAAAATTAAGAAAAGGGTTAGTAGTTAGTACTTATGTGAATGTATACAACACACAACCCAGAGCCGAAAGTCCTTCTCACTCGCACAGTTTATGCATTATCATATACGTAAGAAACAATACGCGATGAGTAGGTAAGTATGCAGTGCAACACACAAGTAAGTACGACTACTTTCGATTTACACGTTGCAAACTTGCAATTTTTGCATGGCTGCTAAGTATTAGTATAGGTATAGCTAAGTAGGTAGGCTAGTACTGATTACTGATCTGCTGATTTGCTGAAGTGACGAAAGACGCTGCAGTTTGCACACTAGCTCGTTGTGTATGTACACAAATATACATACCTATGTATACCGTACTGGATCGCATTCAGAGACATCAACGAATCGGAGATGGAACAAATGGGAGTTCCACCAATCAAAAGAGCGGATTACAAAGTTGGTATTACACTCTCTCCCTCCCCTCCGCCCCGCCACTTTATGTTGTTGGTTGGTGCGCGCGGGAATATTTGAATCTTGTGGATTCGTAGTGAACCTCTTTGGTAAAATTTCAATAAACAAAAATTTTGTTACATGTTTACCGTACGAACATTAAAATAAATCAATCGAATGAGAAAATTGTGCTATTCGAAGAATAAAACAAATGTGAAACTTGAACTCGTGATTGTGCAAGGGGTATCAAAAAATAGTTTATGTGAGAGCCACCTTAAATACACTTTGTACTCTGTAGATATGGGCCTTTCACTTTGATAGAAAAAATAACAAATTTTGGAGAATACCCGGCCTGGTGTTATCTGCTTTCGGTGACGGATTAGAAATATATACAGAAAAAAACACGCCAAGGTTAGAAAACGCACGTGTTGGTTTGATCACCACACACTAAGGTCACTATAAGTAAGGTATGAAAATAAGTTGAAGACATTCAATATACAATCATCGACACAATTATTCATTACTTATAATTGATGACAGCAACAACGAAACATCCCAATAGTGTGAGATAAACAAACGAATTTTTTTTTTTCTTAGTTTGTATCGCTATAGGCTTACTACTACTAATACTTTACTAAAAGATTTATAAACATTATAAGTATATCACCCAAGTCAAACAACAAAAATAGGTACACACTGCAACATTGCGTGCAACTTTTAAAATGTTTTTCTGTTGTACTTAAGTATTTATAATATTGATGATGGGAGTGCGATGAAGGTGTAAGTGTTTTGTGTACTTACATGAACGTGACGTAAGTATACTGTCCAAGTAATTGTTCGGTTGAACCGAAAATGGCAAAAATATAGCTTGTTTATAGTTTGCAGTTGTTTTGTTTACACACCCCGAATACCCCGACTTAATTCACATATATATTTTACCACTCTCAAGCACAAAGAAACGAAACTACTTCCCCTTTTCCATCACAATAACACAAAAATATGCTTCTTTTTCTAATCCCACAGACTCCAACTCCATCTTTTACTCACACTCGAATTGCAAATTAAAAGAGAGTATATAGTTAAAGTTGCCGTATGCCGCATCACACACTACCTGACCACATTCACCACACCGATGGAGCACCAAAAAAACTGCCGATCTATACAATATAATATGTATGATAAATACTCATTGTATTAATCAGTATCAGAAACAGACAGAATCTCTTTATATAACTTCCATTGAGGACTGATAAAGTGTGTTTTTTTGTTAATTATGTTACCTATATATCATACCTAGCATACCTACGCTATCTATATACCTATAACCGGTCGGCATTTTCAATCGGCAATCGATAAAACGATATGCAAGTATAAAATATACATAATTAATATTGTATAATATATTATAGTAGCTTAATCAACAATTGCCGGTGTGAGTGACGTGAGCGGTGATCGGTTGGATATATATTAATAATAATGTTGTATTATGCCCTCCCCCGACTCCCCCCTCTCTTGTGACCATTACAACCGTGCCATATTACGTTGTTACGTATTTTTCTCTCTCTTGCAGATGACGAGAGCTGCAAAAACATAACAGCTCACAGCGCGCCAAAATTTTGATGGAATTAAAAAAATTTCGGAGCACGCAATTATAAAAGCTGCAAAAGTACTGCAAGTAAGCTTATATTTTATAGATTTTTAGATACCTAATGCCTGTGTATTAGATGATGTGTGTGTATACTTATACGTTATCAATTTAAACGCATAAAGAGCGAAAGAGAAAGAGAGAGAGGGTGGTTATTGAGGGGGAGGACCGGAGGACAGAGGAAGAGAGTAGAGAGCTAAGGAGAGACTTCGTATACCTATATAGGATGAGAAGAAGAAAAAAGCGAAGATAGAGAGTAGAGAAAAGAGAGAGAGAGCTCTACGCGAATAAAAGACAGCAAGAAAGAGACATACAGAAGGATATTATGGCTTCTACTGTTTCTCCGCCCTTTCTTCTTCTTCTTATTCTCATACAAAAACTTTTCTCCTTATAGTGCACTCTTTTTATTATTACTCGTTGTTATCTTGATATTGAATAAAAAAAGATATATAAAAAGTGAATCAAGTGCTAGTGTTGTTGTTGGTGGCTAGATTTTGATAAGAAAAGGAGAAGAGAGGGTGGGGGGTTATCAAGCTACGGTTGCTGCTGCTGATATGGATATTGAAACTTGAGACCGAGATAGATATTTTTTTCTTTTTCTACGAATAATTAAAAAATGTTTCGGGTACGAATGCGAGCGAGACGCATGTAAAAACAAAAACGTCCATCTTTTATCCCTTCTCATTCCGCGGCTCAATTTTTTATTATCTTCTCTTGATCAAGCTTTCTGTCAGGAACAAACTTGTGTAAGTATATATTTTGGATTAAATAGTGCATTTTCATTGAATTTCTTTTTCTTTAAAGCTCTTGAATTTAAATCAAAAAGCTTGCACATTAAAATACAGAAAATAAAGATTCAATGAAAGAAAACATACTTGATGTTGACTGATGTTTTATTTATGTGATTACAGAAATGATCAAAATGTATGAGAACGAACCTGTGGAATATATTGTTATAAAACCAGAGTCCATTGAACTATTTAATGAGGATTGGATAAAAGATGATTCAATTAACCCTGATCAAGAGTTTCCAAGTGACAATATTGATGAGTGTTGTTTTGTGATTCCTTCAGGAGAAGTTATTAGATTAAATAACGAAGACACAATAAAAACTCCGTTTTATTTGGAAAGTTATTTTTTGGACAATGATAGATTTAGAAGTAAGTCTCCTAGTGTACCTACTGTCCAGTATATCGTGGAAGTGGACAGAGTTTCGTGTTTTGAGTGTGACATTGTCTTTTGCAACGAGCACAAATTACTCGAGCACCTCATGACTCACATAGACATACATAGGATGGGATGTAACGTTTGTGATCGGGTAAGTTGTTGTAAATCTTGTACATTAATTAATATATTAGTATGTGTACTAAAACGTTGTTACTTATGAATTGTTATATACAGGATTTAAATTCGGAAGAAAAGTTTCATCTTCATACTATGGCTGTAACTTGGCAAAGCGTGTACTATTGTGATTTTTGCAGAAAATCCTGTGCTGGCGTGGTTAGGTCCAAGGTAATGTATTTATTTTTGTATTGACCCATCATTTTCTCTACATTAAAGTTGTTTTTATTACAGAGCCAACCTCCACCTCCAGGAAAGACATACATGTGCCATGATTGTGAATACTTAACAAATCCTTATAATGTGAATTTTCAAAGTTTAAAGTCTAGAGCCATAAAACCAACATTCATCTCACTTCCTCCTCTAGAAGTTCCAATACTTAATCCAGTCTCACAACCGACAGAAGTGCTACAAGACCATAAACAGAAACCCGCCAATGAGGCAAAACACGAAAATTCCTCAACCGAAAATTCAACTCCCGAGATGCAAGACTGCTGCAAGCCCCACAAAGAAAACAAGAAAACAACGGGATCGAAGCCTAGAGTTAAAGTTGTGAGTGAGTGCATGAAACAGACTCCAAAAATGACCACGCGATCACAGGCAAAAGAACAACTAGTTGAGTCTTATGAGTGCAGTGAGTGTCAAATTTCATTTAAAGATGAATATTGTCTGATGCAACACATGAAAAACAAGCATAAGTTCCACAAGCTCAGGTACATCTGTAAGTTCTGTGATAAGGAGTTTACTCAGCAGCGCAGTTACGAAAAACATGTGAGGATCCACCAGCTTGCAAAAAATTACATGTGCTTTCTCTGTAATATTGCATTTTTGTCTAAATCTGAACTCGTACATCATGCACGTTGTTATCATAACGTAACTGGGTTGATTAATACCTACTGTGATGATACGAACAATGTAGCTTTGGAGTTGCAAAGATCGTGAACTTTTATTTTTCTGTCAAAGTGAAAAATGTCTAAGGTATATTAACGAAGTTTTCATTGTAATAAATTACTTTCGTTATTTTCATTTTGATAGTTGCTGTAGCGTTTTACGGCGTTATCTGATAACGGTTAGAGCGCTTTCAGGACAGTAACAGAGCATTTATTATGATTATGGTTATTTTATTATTATTATTATTATTATTATTATTATTATTATTATGTTGCACTGTTTATAAAGTTTAGTTATTGTAAAATTAAATAAAAAAAAGTATATCATTTTGTTAAAAATTATGTAATAGTATTTTACGTAAAAAGTGCAGGAACTACGCTTTTTCAGCATGAATAATGATCTCGCTCCGACTCGTCACTATCGTCAATGAAGATAAATGATGAGGGCAATCGATCGCACAAGTTACCTTTTTTTTAAATGAGAGGGAAATTTTGACTATAACTTACACATAATGTATGCAAATATGCATAGGGATAAGCCATCATGTTATGTATGTACATGGTTTCAAACATGAGTATTGAGATCGTTGTATCCACCTACCTAATGTATATTAGTGAACAATATTTTGATAAAAATAGATTGCAAAAAATAGTAATGTGTATCAAGAAGAAGTAGGCCCTAAAATACGTTATTTTTAATTACTTCAGTGATTAAATTAACCTAATATTTGTTTTATCAAATAAAATTTTTACCAAATTTTCAGTCATGTTTTAATACCCAAATTCATCGTTTTTCTTTTTACATTAAAAAAATTAATATTTATTTTGATCTTACAGGATGCATTAAAAATTTAATAATTGTGAGATATTCGCAATCATACATCTGTATACATTATATTAACCTGAATTGAAAAAAAAATTTTTTTTTATACATGGCTGTGAAAAACGTTTTTACAATCTTTTAACTACTAGCTCTGATGCCTCTTGTGTACCTTACAAATCCTGATTAACTCTAGTTTGTAAGATTTCGATACTTGCACTTTGTCATTAAGATTTTCTTTTCTTTTCTTCGAGATATTATCGATACAAATTGAACAACTGATAAAAAAAATGTTAAGTTAAAATGCATCCGAATTTCCCTTATAATTAACTTGAAAAGTTATTGTAGCTAAAGCAAAAAAAAAAATAAAATATTTTTGGGTTATTAACAAAATGTTCTTTTTATCCTCTTGATGAGTACAGCATAAAATATCTGCACTATTACATGAAAAAATTCATGAAAAAGTTTTTATGTGCAAAGGAAGAAGTGGGTCATTTAGTGGTTTCTCAAACAAAAATGGAATAAGAAATGAATAAATTTTCTTTTATTTTACATGCAAGTTAAATTTCTTAATAATTTACAATGCCAGTGATTTAAGGAGTACAAAAATAGTTTACAATAATGTGTCGGTCGAGCAAATGTGTGATCGTTACATTTGTTTCTTCTTAATAAACAAGGATGCATAATACCTTTTTTATTGTAATATATTTTTTTCATAACTTATGTTTAAAATATATAGTTTTATATTTTTCGTTTAATTATATTTTATTTCAAAGCCCGATCGCTATGGCAAGCTTTTAGTGGCATATAACATTCGCCAAAGTTACAAGTGCTGTATAAAAATGACTTTCAAGTCGTTTCTTTCATTTAATTATAACTTTTTTTTANTTTTTTTACTTGATTAATGCGTAATTTGAACGTATAATTTATTTATATTAATTCAGCCATAATTTTATCGACGCAAAATCATAGGCGAATTTTGCTCGTTCATCATTTTCACAACCGAATGAGGAGACGATCTCGATTTTAATTTGTTTATATACCTGTTATGCATTTATCATTACACAGCCCATTCGGGTATTTCGTTCAATACATATGCATGTGTATTATTACATATCCATATACACACATATATACATACACCATCGATTTAATCAATGACAACTTTTTTTTTCTTTTTTCATTAAAATATTTAAATTACAGGTACAAATTCAAACATATTTTCATTGAATTTTCTATAATCTTATTCGATGATTAATTAAAGAAACATAAACCACATTTTCAACTACATAAAGTTTCAGTCCAAGCACAACCTGTTAAAAATTTCAACAGCTATCGAATGTATAAGTGAAATGCAGACATAAATTGACGGCTTGTTTATTAAATTAACAATCACTGCGCGCCGTACAAACTCTTTAATATACTTGAATGAACCACATCCATGCATATCGCGTTGGCGTTTCTAAACGAAAAGCACGTAAATAACTGGATCACTGTATACCTTATGTGGTTATGGAGTGTGCAGCTCATACGAATAATAAACTCTTGCTACGTACAAATATACAATATTTATGTAAACCAATAATTGCACAAATACTTAATAACGGTCGAAAAGTTAATCAAAATTTCATTTCATCCATGGATTAAGAGGTGCTAGGGGAAAACAATTTCAAGGGATTATTTACACGCGGTTTATACATGATTTTTTTTTTTTTTTTTTTAATTTGTTTTATGTTTTTTTTTCAGTCTTCGAAGCAACTGATTATCATTTTTTATCGAGCACGAGCGCCACAAATAAAGTCCCATCAAAATCGGATGGAAAAACATCGACCAGTTACACGCTTCAAATCAATTAAATGTTAATGCACAACTTTTGCCGCCCCAAACGCATTTCAGTGCAATCTCAATCGTCAAACTACTGCATTGAAATTTCCCATCCGATGCCCGATCAAGGTTTTTTCACTCTCAAATAGCCAATAAGCAAGATGCGACCTTCAGGGTAAACAATATTTTATTCCACAACTAGTGCTCCTGCATTTCCTCCCTTCAGTTGTACAAATCATCTTCTCCATTTAGGTGAAAAAAAAAAAACTCTATTGCACGAATCACCAGCACGACGCAATCACGTTGGCCATTTTAAAATGCTGACAACATAAATTTTCCTTAAACATACTTGGGAGATAAAAAAAAAAGAAACAAAAAAGAAGAAGTACTGGAAAAAAAAACCAACAAATTCAACTACAAACACTTGTCAACACGATTGTTTCAAGCCCATCGGCGCAAACGCGAGATCAAAAAGCTAAATGAAGAGAAAAAAAAAAAAAAAAAAAAAAAAAAAAAAAAAAAAAAAAAAAAAGAAAAAAAAATACACACGATCATTCTCGTCATCATCACAGAGCGCCGTTTGTCGTCCCCTGCATCAGCAAGCAACGGCGTAGCGCAAATCGCGCATCATCGTCCCACGAACGTCGGCAACAATTGCCGGCGAGCCCGTACTGCCCGACTATCTCGCGGGCACGCTCGGCATCTTCTCGAGAAAGTCCTGCTCGATGACCGACTCGAGCTGGCCGACGTTCAAATTCGTGGACGATTCCTCGGAGCGGTGGCTCAGGGCCACGAAGAAACGATGCAGGTCCTGCAACGAGCGGATGTTGCTCGAGGTCAGCAACAGCTCGCCTTGGGGCAGGGCGGACGGCGACTCGCCACCTTTGAACTGCAAAACGCCATATATAATACATATATTTAATGTACATGTATATAATATAATGCCACGAGAGACGACGCACGCGTTACATATAATGTACACTTGGACGCAATCCAGATAAGCGCTAAAAACCGCGTCCACCTTACTTGCACTATACATATACATATATGTGTATGCCCCAAGAAATAACATAAAAGCTACCGCGCGTTATTTATAAACCCAGGATATACAGCCACATGTCCAGTATAGATTCGCGAGGGAAGAGCACATCATAAGACTTGTTCATCCGACGCTTTCTTCGTCAGGTGTAGTGCCGCTTGTATCATTTCCGTTGGGCTCGAGCTTTTTTCGTATTATTTTTTAATACATTGTGGCAATGAGTGTCGCTCGCTAAGCTGTTTTCAATGCGCCGTTTGCAGAAGTAAGACAACTTATTTTCGTGTACCGAAATGAGGAAAAAAATGAAGGACAAGCATATCGCAAGTACAGCACAATACGGTATTCATAAAGTGAAGAATCGTCTCTTCCATCACATATGACAATGAGCCCTCGATTATTCGGCACGCGTCCACAAGCGCGTACATGTGTACAATGGACGAAATTAAATTTGCGGAAGCCGCTCTCGTACAAAGCTCTACTCTGCGTTGGCGGAGAAGCATCATCACCGGTCGCGCGGCTATTATACGTGATAGTCAACGCTCGATCGGCGTCATGGCTGGACCACCGCGCGCCAAGGTGCTCTGGTTCGTTTTGCTGTTCTGTCACCGTTTGGCTGCCGCCACGCGTAAGTCTATTACAATAATATTAACACCGTGCAACAACTGTACCATGTATCGTTATACATTATCGTTATTAAGATGCACAAATCGGTAATGTTACTGGATTACATTTTTTTTAAATCTTATTTTCGTATCTAGTCGTCGATAGTGAAGTTATTGGATATAATCCATCGGATGGATTAGAGATGAGAATGATTGATTTACTTGTGCGCACGATTGAATTGTCAACCGCAAGCAGCTGTAATCGGCTTTAATCGACTGTACTTGTAGAGTTGTACAGTAACGTCTTGATGTCGTAATAGTTTACTGGCCAAACTAAATGATTGATTAAATATGCTGAATCATTTTTACGATTAACAAAGAATCAAGGTTTGTTAAAAATAACACGTGTGAAGTGTACAAAGGTGCTCGTGAGAAAAAAAGCATTAGATCGAGAGAGGGAGATTTATATATATATAGGTACAGGCAACACTTTGGGCAATTAGAGCCAACTGAAATTGCGACCGGTCATCTTTTGTCAGAATCTGTTGAGTGAACTTAAACTTGCGTCACGGCTGTTGAAAAACCATGTGACAGTGAAACGCTGTGAACATGAAATGATTTATTGTTGTTGTTTTTTTTTTAATCTAAATCAAATTCAATTGAAAAATTTGACGCACAGTCTAAGCACAAAAGAAAAATAAATCGTTTCAATAACTAACGTGATCGTTTCAAATTGGATTATCTCAAAGTCAACGAAAATAATGGACACATGCACACTCGAGTAAAATCGTTGTTAGTAATTGAAACAAAGAAAACAAATTGTTTTACCAATCTAAAATTCTGTTTCAAATAAAAATGCTGTTTCAAGATTTCATTAAAATCTGACGCAAGGAATTGATTGATCAAATAACTTTGATTAAAAGTAACATGGATCATTCAAGGGAGTCTTTAATTTATCAAACGCTGCCTATACCTCTGGATGCAGTCAACAAAAAGAATAGTACTAGTCAAATTAGTAAACAAGTCAGGTAAACGATAACAATGACTGAGGAGTACAATTACATCCTCAAACGGTCCACGTATGTACTTCACTTCCTCCCAATAAATAAAGTATACACTGCAACTTGCCGCAAGAGCATAATAATACCTATACCGGCGAACAACCAAGTGAGCTTAATTCCTAGCCAGTTGGTATTAATTACAAGCGACGAGCGCGAGAGGTCAAAGATAATCAACCAATAGATTGAAAAAGCACGTCTACGCTCCACCCCCGTAATCACGTGTTGGCGCAAGTTTGAAAACGTTTTCCCTTGATTGTTTCAGAGTACACCAACGACGACTCGGATTACGATGACTTTGATTTTTACAAAGACGGCCTGCCGGAGAAACGAGTCGATAGTACGGCTTATCGTCGACCCCAACAGGATGACTTTTACATGGTTGGCGACTCCGAGCGCGCGGACGATCCCAACAGACGTTCAAGCAGCGACGCGCTCAGAGATGAGCCGGCGATGTCCGACACGTCCAGTAGGATGAGTTCGCGCGAGTCCACTAACCCGGTAAGAAGGACATTCGTCGCTCAACTCTGGATTACATTGAATTAATATCGGCACTCGTGCGTATACAGCAAACAAAGTGGCCGTCGGCCGAGCGGGTCTACCGCTACACGAAGCACCGGATTCCTGGCTACGACTACGAGGAGTTGGACTTTTTGGAGCCGCGGAGCCGTCCAAGGAGATGCGACGAGCGCTCGGTTTACACGCACTGCCTGTGTCAGTTCACCTGTGCCGAGCCGAACGTCGTCGATTGTTACACGCCTTGTTCGAGCGGATGCGAGTGCCGCGAGGATTACGTTTTTGATGAGCAGCTGGGCGAATGCGTCTTGCCCGAACAATGCCAGCCTGATGACGATTACTTGCTGTATTGACTGAATCAACCTCGAATCATGATGAGGGGCATTACTTTTAATAACGGGTTCTCTGAATAATTTCGCTCTCTATCGAATTTTAAGAAAATTTACGTGATCCCCGAGAAACGATATTTTTGACCATCAAGCACCTACTTGAAGTACTTTTTTTACTGTCTTTTTTTTTTTTTTTTATAATATACTTTACGCTGCTTTTTTTCTTAATTTAATCAACTACGTGTATCATTTACTTACTTTACTGTCCATGAGTTTGGCTATCCTGGTTATGTGCGGCACAAAGTCCGAACTCAAATTGTTATTATCCGTACTGCCCGACGCGGCATCTCCAACGAATGCCCAACGGTACCTTTAAAAAATGCAATCGTCGATTAATACTTATTAAAACTTACTCTGTGGAAAAATAAACGATGATTCCTCGCAAATGCAAGCACTTACATTTGAAACTGGGGCAGTCGATGGGCCGGCAACAGAAGCGCTAGATCCAGCAGTTTGGCGGCTGCGAGCTGCAGCTGTAACCAGTGCGGATGTCCGTGCGCCTGGAGTCCGTTGTTAGCGTTAACGGCCCACGAGGAGTCCAGTGCCGACAGCAACTTGATGTGCGAACTTTCAATGTGAACAGAGAGAAAAACAAAAGATTCTTTGTGATTACAATTGTAACGAGCTTTCCCACTGCGATACTAATGACTCTTTTTTTAATGGTAATAATACTATTTTTTTTCGGGACGGAAAAAAAATTTAGAACAATGATATCAATGTTCATTTTTTCTATCCGTGTAGACGACGAACAATAGCTTTTTTTTTGCCCAGTTTACGTTTGGGTGAGGAAAGTTCTGATCCGATATTTTAGAACAATCGATCCTTTTTTTAACTCATTTTTTTAAAAGTACGTCTACTTTTTTACTAAACGGCTATATTTTTTTAAACTTAACACTCAATTTTTATGTGTATATTGTATATTGTTACTTATGTACGATGATAAATAAATAAATAAATAAATAAGCGAGAGAGTAAATTTACTCTCATAATGGAGGACTCATTAAATGATAGCAGTCAAACAAATTGTTTACAAAACATTTTATAATAAATTACCTGTTCTGACGACTGCCAACCCAACACCGAACAACCACGTTGGCACCGTAAATCCCATCAAATCGAAGATGCGAAAACAGAGGAAAACAAAAGATCACATCATTAGGACATGTTGATTGTTAGTAGGAGATGTTTGGATATGATTGTAAGTTTTTTATTGATCGAAACTGAATTTTTTTTAATGGAAATTTTTTATGATCATAGAGTTTTCGCAAATTTAAACGATTCGATTTACGTATGATTATATTGAAAATCGTGTCCAAAGTATCCACTAATAGTATGTTACAAAATGCATAAAAAATTAGGAAGTTATATTCCTCATAAATTGAAAGATATATTTTCTTATTCATGTATAAAAAATACTTAAATTAAAATTAATATCCATGATTCATTGTGCACTGAAAGTTAACGTACATTATGAATATTTTAAGAAAAAATTTTATTAAACATACAGTGCATGTAGATCAAGAGATCATGAATTTTTTAAAATAGTGCTAGGCTTTTTCCTAGCACTATTTAAAAAAATTCATGATCTTAAAGGTTTAGTATTCTAATAGCATACGCAAATCTATTCTTTCCATTAATTTTTATAAGAATTAAAATTTTAAATATACACCCTTTTAGAATAGTTTTTAAGGTTTTAAACACAAATGGTAGATGTTATTAAGGAAATTTAGTGTTAGTAGGATTACATTAAGTCTTGTAGCTATGGAAAATCCCAGATGAAAGATAGCACCATAATGACCATGAAAAATAACACAATAAGCGGAACAATCAACATGCAGTATTATTCATTTAAATAAAACATACCCAAACTCCTCAGTGTCGGTGCTCAATTCTTGCTCGATGTACAAAAACACTTGAACCAATTCACTGACTATAACTGGCCACAGCGAGGTAGCGTGTTGTGGTGATACACGTAGTAGCAAAACTCGAAAACATAGGAATACTTGAGCCTGAATTGAGGGCACTACCTGAGGTAATCGGAGACTGTCGGCAAGGCGTTCTATTGACAAAATAAAATCATCGCTAGCTTTTTGAAAAAGTTGGTTATTGTTAAAAATAACGTAAAAGGCAAAAAAGTAAGTTATCAGTTGATTAATGTGTCAAGGAGCATACAATCACATGTTGACTCAAAGTTCCTTGAACTTATTAATAAATTGCTGTCGTTACATTATACTCCATTATTAATTTCGAAAGCGCTTCGTCTTAATGACAATTTATCTAAACTATGGGTACTCGTTATTGAATTAAGTAATACCTTGAATTTCTGGCATGTATTTGTGATACTGGTCCATTTCACTGCACAGAATAACGAATGCTAGTCTTTTTAACAATTGTGCCCTCTGCTCGTACTCTTGTTCCTTTGACGAGAAAATGCTAATGCTGCTACTCTGTGCTAGTGATACTTTGGCTGAAAAATATAATTAAAGGACGCGTTTGAATGAAATAAACGTGTTGGAGATTAAACTCATAGAAATGTTTTTTGATAATTTTAATTTCAACTCACTCAATAAATCTCTAAACGTTGTATTGTCGTGTGTCATCAAATTGTCGATCACTGTTCTCCAGTAGGGTAAGCAAGCAGCTGTCATTTGGAAAAAGGCAGGATCCAAAAGTAGATCTAGGACGTCTTTACGCCATGCTTTGCGCGTGTATGGATATCCGGAGAGCGAGCTCAAGAGCTGAGAGCAGGCAGTGAACGATGCAATATTTTTCGTTCTGCAAAAGCACCATATTTATCAGCTTTACAAATCACTTTTCATCTAATCCCAAAACTCAACCAAGAAAAATCGAAAGCTTGTACTCACGTGTGATTCTTCAGGTAAGGTGTGACGTTGTACATCAAATTGGTCAATAGAGTAGCGACGCGTTCTTTTTCTTGAGATCCGTAGCCAACATCGAGAAGCGGCGCCAAAATTTCCGCTAGCACGGCTTGCGCTTGTACGCTGTATGCGGAGTTTGGTGGAGTGCCAGGTGTGACTAAGAAAAAAAAAAAAAAAAAAGTAATACAAAATCCAACAGCTTGAGCTAATGGACTCAATATGTATTTGATTAATGGAGGTAAGGCTCACTTGTGCCGGTTTTGCCCTCTTTACCCTCGGAAGAAGAGGGTTCCGACGTGTCGAAAACATCTTCACGCACAGCCAAGTTTCTTCGTAACCAAGTAGTTTGTTCGAGACACGCACCGGCAATTTGAGAGCACGATTCGACGAGCTAGAAACGAGAAACGAAGTGGTTGCTAACGATGTGTCGTCAATTATATCACTAATTACTCAATCTACTTGAACATGAGGATGATTATTTGATCACGATGCGATCATTTTTTTATTCGATTTTGCAATGAAATGGGTAAAAAAGTTGAATATAATTATAATTCATCGATACCTTAGCCGTAATATCTAGTAAATCTCTCACGTCTTTCTTCTCCTGCATTGGAGGGCACTTTTGCACATATTCATTCAAAATTGCTAACAGCAGAAATTGTGCGGGAGCAGTCAAAGAAATGCCATCTTTTAACAAGCCAAGAAGCGACGCCCACGACTCGACGAGAGTCTGCGACGTATTGCTTTGCATGTAAATGTAAAGTAATTCTAAAACCGAAACTTCCAGACAAAAGTCCTGCTTCACTCCATTAACGGGCGGTGGGGTTTTAATAACTTGGTGAACGGTTTGTACTAATGTATCAATAGGCATGACGCGAATTGCACTAACTAATTGAACTAAAACTTGCTGGTTTGGACAAGCCTCTGGTAATACCTGGATGATCAAAAATAAAAAAAAAAATTACCTAACAAATAAATTATTGTGAAATAAATAAATAAACAAATACCTACCCTCTTAGAATTAGACGAGGGTTGCCTCCTTTCGTGCCAAGCTACGGCGACTGCAGCTAAGAAATTAACACCATGGTGGAAGGAAATAGGAGAAAGAAGTTCCAAAAGTTGATACTTAACTATCCGAGGGCTGCCTACGACGCACGTCGCCTGCTCGCTGTAAAAGGGAAAAATAATTATTACGCTATATCCACTTGATCAAAAGATAGGTAAAAAAAATAAACATACTTGTCCTTAATAATTAAAACCGCTTGCCAGAGCGTAGAAAGCGAAGCTATTATCCTAGGTAGGTGACTTAGCGCCATTCTCCTCGCAGCGAGGAATTTCTCGTTTGTAGCATTTTTATCTTTGGGGCCATTGGCCTCGGTACTTAAAGAAGTGGGCATGAAAACGTGCATGAGGTTATTGAATATCTGACCAGGATTGGCCCCAGGCATTCCAGTTTGTATCGCGCTGCTTGGCTGATTGAACGAGAATACAATCTGTTGCGAGCTGTCGAGTAAGCAATAATGCAGCAAAAAAGTCAAAGCCTCTAAATGCGTGACGGTGTAGTCTGCGGGTAGGCAGCATTCAACCACACTGATATCCTCGCATTTACGCGACAAAAGTAACGCTTCATCGCTCACGTAGTAAGATGCTAGCTGCTCGATGTTGCAGCAGAGCTGATGAATGACCGACATGACGATCTGCGTCAGTGATGAGCCCATGAATGGTAGACTAGATGTGACGAGCGTCGTCCAGTACTGATGCAGGTGTCTCATGTGCTCTAACTTTAAAGCACTGAGAATGCTCGCGATAAACATAGGTTGCTGGGTGATTGGAGCTCCAAGAACGTATTTCAACGTGTTACTGGATAAGCTGTGATTATTCCGTGATGGGCTCGACGGTGTCGACGCAGCCGCCACGTCTTCGCTCTTCAGTGCTCCGCATTGATGCTCAAGCATTATCAAAGCTAACAATAATCTGTAGTAAAAGGAAAAAACTGTAAGATTTGTACGAATTTTTTACAATTTTAATTTCGTTTTGTGAAAATATCATTTACCTTAATAATTGCATTTGGAAGGCTTCCGTATGATCGCTCGCTCTGTATTTACACTTATTAACATCGTTTTCCGTGACAGGATCGTTAAACTGCACAATTTCCTCGGTAAACGTAAAAATGTCGTCGCTGTCCTTCTGAGCGTTCTTCATCGTTAGCACACTCGACACAAGGCAGTGAAGTGCAACTTTTTGCACCTTACATTTCGTCAATAAATCCATGATATAACAACTAAAACCTTTTCCGGAATCTCGCACTATTGGTATCAGTTCCGAAAATATAAGCGTCAACAATTCCGAACTTGCCAGCTGAACCTAAAAGATACCAGACGAATGTAAAAAAGATTTAAACTCCGAAAAATTATCTCTCAAATTGGTTAATTAACTCACCTGTCTGTTGCCCGATATCTCCTCTTGTGTCAATCTCATCTGACCGAGATTTGGATAATAACTCCGCGAAAAGTAAAGGCACACGCTGATGAGCAGCTCCAAGTACATGCTGCTTCTGTACGCAGCGACAAACTCTGTATTCGCAACTTCGCCATAAAAGTTCCTGCCAAACACACTTTTACGATGACGAGCCAACAAAGTAAGGAGAGAAGCACTTCGTGAGTTTGTTGACACGCCGGTTGTCGCCGCGGCGCACAGAAACATCCGGGCGTTGGTTAGCACTTCGTTACGCAGGATTCGCAGGGCGTAAAGGGTACGAGTCGAGTCGTAAACACCGCAATACAGAAGCATGTGCGAGTGTAAGTTGTGCACGCCCACGCCACCCGTACTGCTGCGTTTAATGCCACCACTGTCCAAATGTATGGATTCTTCATTCTGAAAACATAATTTATAAAATATTGAGTGCTTTTATTCATTCAGATGATATTTTTAAAAGTTGTCTAAAGTATTAAAAAAAAAAAAAAAAAAAAAATGCACGCCCTTGCATACGTAAGATCCTTGCATAATAAGTGTCAGAGACTATATGAACATTATCAAGCGCACAATTGCGTAACTAAATATTAAAACCATTTCTTTGCTCGTCAAATCCTATTAACGGCTCATAACATCTTTATTTGTTTTCGAAATCCATTTTGTGTAATCGAATTATACTCTGGTACTAAATTTTAATTCACTTTTTTTAAATTCATGTCCGAAAATGATGTAATCCGCCAATGTAGAAAAATGTAAATTGTTTTAAATGTAGAGTGACAGCTCACCAATTTAGTCTCGTTGTTCTCCTCGCATAACTCAACAGCCTTATTGATTACTTCGTTGAGCACATCCTCTACTATACTGACACCGCTCGAGTTGCTGAAATATTCCTCGGCAGTAGTGCTTGTTTCCAGATCGCCCTCTTCATCTCCCATCGTCCAACTCGGTACCTCGTTGGTAGTCTCGAAACTACCGACCGTATCATTCATTTCATACGATGTAGCATTCAACTCGTGATTCGTTATATTGTATTTTCCCTTTATTATCGTTCCGGCAACTTCGCGTGAGCTATTGGGCATTAGCACTGGTTCTTTCTTCGATTTCTAAACGTATAAGAAGGTAAATGTAAAATTATACTTGAAAAATGTATGAAAAATTTTTTTTTCAATAGTTACCAGTGTTATTTTATTGGTGGCAACGATCTCAGGACTGCTGGAAGCCAAACTATTCGTGATGGAGTCCAGAGACGACGAACCCGCCTCGCCATTCAACTTTTTCTCGTCTTCTTCACCTTTGTCTTTCGTTTGAACCGATTGCGTCACCGAATCCACAGACTCGAACAGACTCTCGTCCAAACTGCCCGTAGATCCTTTGCTGTATTCCGGCTTTTTGAACCTCCGGACGTTTCTCAGCATCTCATTCGTAAACGCGTTATGACCAGAACTACCTACAGGAGTAGAGGCATTCTTCTTCGACGTATGCTGGGAAGAGTCGTCTTCCGTGAGCGAATCGTTTGAGTTTTCATTGCCATTCATCGACAATGGATTCACAAAGACCGATATCCTACGATTGCCCGAGATTGCGGGTGGTACCTCGAGCTCGCGCATCGTTGTTTGATTTCGTTCGGTCACGTATTGGCTACCCTTGCTGTCGCTTGTTAACGTTGTTACCGCGAATATGCGTTTCACCTTCACTGGATTTATTATCGATTTTTTCTTGCGGTAGCCTTGAAAAATTCATAACTCATGCGTTTAAAAATATTTGCGATTGCGCAACGAGACTTGATTACTACAGATCTTATTATTAAACTTTTAAACAATAATTTTGACGTATATTAACAACAAGGTATAAAATTCGTAGAGGGTATCTGTGTAGTTAGTGTAAAAACAAAAAGAGCATGTGTACGTTAATTACCTCGTTTCCATTTTTTGTCATCGTGACGCTCTTCTTGGCTATTGCTCACGTGGTAGATGACATTACCATCGACAGAGCTAATAGCGTATATATTAGCTGTGCCCTCAGCGTCGTCCTGCGCGTTTTCAGATTTTTCTTGTAGAGTTGCTGGGTCGCTCCTTGTCAGCACGATGTTGCTGTGCTGGATGCTAACGTGAAGGACACTCATGCGACACGTAGAGGGATCGAGTAGCATCATCAGCACGGGGTTGACAATACGCGAAATGTCATTGCGCACAAGGCAGTGCAACAGCCAGGATTGCGACTGGAGTTTGAGCGGCGAGTTGTCAGCTAATTGAAGATTGTCGAGCAGTTTGAGCAGTGATCTGCAAGGGTGATGAGAAACGTGTTAAATTTGTTTAAATTTTAGAGTAAATTCGCTAGTTTGACGGGAAAATCTGCTAGCTTACTTATCAAAACCTCGTAAACATCCTCTCAATCGAGGATTAGTTTCGATGTCCCTTCCAAGATGCCACAGAGTAGAAAATCGATTGCACGCCTCGATTCTTTTCTCCATGCTCTCGGCCATTAGCGCTGACCCAATTACATCCTCAACAGCGTCGCAGGAATCACTCAGCGTGTGATGCAATTCGTGTAGTAATTCGACACAGCGGATTCTGTACTTGTGCACGGGGAGCTCTCCAAGATGATGCCACAAAGAGTGAGCCAAGATCTGTGATAACATGAATTATTAATAGATTCGAACATTTACCTAACGTGGTACGGTATTTTTTTTTATTTTTTCTTTTTTTTTTATTCAAGACACCAATTAAATCACAAAAATCATTATACATACCTGGAATACGTTCGTGTAGTTTTTCAAGCACGACACGTGCCAGTGTTTCAACAAGGGCACGATTACAACTGTCGTTACACCCTCGCCGTGTGTCTGACTAGCCGAATCGCTGTGAGCCTTGGATAACGCGATCAAGTCCAACAGAGTCGCGATACTCGTGAGCTGGAGAGAAGGCTGCTTTCCAAGCCAACAACTGCACACTATTAGTACTTTCAGCCACTCGGGCAGCACGACTTTTTTATTCTTCGGCTCTTCCTCTTCAGGCAGACCGTCGCCCGACATAAAGTACGTTGGAAATGTGGACAGCTCGACAAAAAGACTCGAGGCAACCTTTAACGTATCTTCCCAATCGGATTGGTCCACCGATTCCACGTACGGATGCAATATGTCTGATGGAATAAATAATTATCTTACAAAATCGAGGCCAAAGTTTTTAAATCAGCGTAAAACGGGCTTTTTCTTACCCAACTGCTGGTCCTCCGGCGAGGGAAAATCGTGACTGTAGAATCCCGAGTCCTCGGAATCAAGTTTCAACTTCAACAGCCGTTCCAAATGCCTGGTGCGCTCTTCGAAGCTCTCCTTGCAGGACGACACTTTCAGACAGTCGAAAAGTTCAGACACGGACTTGTCGCGATCCAAAATCCTTCTCTCGACGAGTTTGACGTAAAAGAGCTCGTACAGGCGTAGGCACTTTTCGAGCATCGAGTGCTGAAGCTGCTGAGCCGGCGAGGGCTCCCGGTTCAGAGAGCTCAGCGAGCCAGCCCCCGAGGACGCCCTCTTCGTCGTATCGGAATTCTGGGCCTCGACGACCGCGCTGTTCTCCTGCTGATAGTCCGTCGACTTGAGATCCTCCATGCTCTTGTTCCGCGCCATCATGGGAGACTTGGCATCTTCGCTCACGACCACGGATATGTTGCTGCTGTCGGCTTGAATAGAGTAGGAATCCGAGAGCTTGGACGTACTTTTGCTGGACTTCTTTTTGGACTTTTTGTCGTTCTTTTTCGGCGCACCGCTCGAGTTTGCTCTCCTCCGAGGACTTTAAACAACAAGATACACCATACGTTAGATCGAGCGTATCCTCGCACGGAATGAAACACCCACACACACAACATACCTAGAGTTTAGAGCATTCCCGGTCAAAAGGTTGGTTACACTTTAGAGGGGGAAAAACAGAGTAAGGTTGCAACATAGAAAAACACAATCATGCAGTTATTAGTCAATAGTACAGTTCAGAGCAGCTATACTGAAAGTCGATGTAAATATTACATGAACAGAGAGTAATTTGAGACAAACATCGAGCTACGACTTGACACTTGTGTCAAGGATAAAAAAAATCCTCACCTGGGACTGCGATCCTGGAATGAGCTGTTGGCCGATTCGTTGAGTATCGGCTTGTTGAGTTTACTGTCCGATTGGCTCTTCTCCAAGGAAGTCGTACCCAAGTTACTCTCGACCGACACCGCGACTCCGTTTGCGTCGACCTTCGTCTCACCTTCCGGCTTCTCGGAGCTCGCGTTCGCCGCGACCACGGGTTGCACCTTGAGGAGGATTTTACTGCACAGCTCGAGACTTTTCGTTATCTCGATCGCTGAGAGGTAGTCGATGCGGCTCGTCAGTTTTTCGATTATGTGGTGAAACAGGCTGGAAACGAAGAGCGGTGGAACACCACCGTTATTATTCATCTCTCTCTCTCTCTCTCTCTCTCTTGCGCTGCATCTTAGTCAAGCGCAAAAGTTTGCATTCGCGATGCGATCGGTGGTATACGAAATCGATAAAAAAAATACTGCAAGGGACATTTAAACAACTTATTCTCGTTAAAACTAAAAAAATCATCGCATAATTTTTTAGCCTGACCTCTTCTTTTTTTTTGCATCACGTTTTCTAATAAAAGATACAAAACTCACTAGACGTTTTGATACGAGCAGATATATTTTTATCTCATCCTGATAAACACACAGGACGCGCGATAGTAAAAACGCTCCACAATACTAACTGTATACACGCGCGCTACAAAATTTATAGATAATGTATGCGGCAACGATTACTATAATTTACACTGTGGCATAGATATGCGATGAAAAAAAAAAAGAAAAAGAAAACCTATTGAAAAGCATTAAACAAGTACTTACGTCGTATTACGAAAAAAAAAAAAATGATTCGATTGGAAAGATAAAAAATCGATTTGTACCAATGTAATGTAGCCTTAAAGATTTCTAGTAAAAAAAGGTAAACAAGAGTACAATCGAGTGCAAAATGAATACAATACCTCGGCAGGTGCTCGGACGGTGTGTCGATGAACGCGTCGAGCGAGACGGTATCGAGCAAAAACTCCGAGAGCAGGCAGACTTCAGCGAGATCGGGCATCGAGCTGCCGATTTGTTTGACCGAAGGCTCTTGATAGGTGCGCCGTAGCCTCGCCGATCTGCTCCCATAGTCCTTTTCGCAAGCCTTTTCGAATAGGTAGCCGCAATGGATCCACACGTACTGCGGCTCGAGGGTTGAGAACAAGAGGTTTACCGATTTTATCACCTCCGTCGATTTAGAGCCTTTGCCCGTCGCTGCGGTACAAGCGTTGTAAAATGTTCTGCAAATCATTTTTCGAGTTACGTATAGAAGTATACGGGGGATTACTCTCTTTTTTTTCTTTTAGCGAAGCTTTGAAGAACTCACTCGATTTAATACGATTCGATAGACGTTGGTATAAAAGTATAATTAAAAACTAATCTCCCGGCACTTATGAAAAAAAAAAAAAAAACTGTACGGAGGCATATATAGTATACACGAAACAAAATTTACACAGTAAAATGAAAGTAGTGAGACAGAGCTTTGAAAAAAAAAAAAAAAAATACCACTGACAATTTTTCGTCTATAAGAGATACGCGTGAGACCATTTTAATGGATAGTATACGAAATCATACAAAAGTCTTATCGAATAAGTTGTGCAGGCAGAGTTGTTTGTTTTATTTTTGTTTACTCGAGCATCGGGTAATAATGACAAACGCGCGCAAGAAATTTAAATGGCTACGGCTTGATTCATTCGTGCGAACATTTATTCCTTTAAAATTGTGCACTCGAGTTTTTATGGGAGATGAATAAGCACGAAAGGAATGAAAAAAATCTTTTATAACACATGTTGGCCATCAAAGTTTTGTACTTTTCGACAACGAAGTCACAAAGAGATACGAATTCTGTATTTTCGAATTTCGAGTCACCTGTTTTAACATATTCGGTGTGTCACGTTGGATCATCAAACAACGAATACAAGAGGACTACGTCATTTCCTGTGAATCTATTCTGTAATTGTAAGGAGGCAAAATAATCTCATACTGACACTTTGACAATATGTATACAGCAAGTGACGCTCGATTGAAGCGGTTTAACAAAAAATTTTCTTTAAAAAAAAAAAAAAGTTTTAAATGAGCAAGTACACCATATGTAAATTTTTGACGTCGTGGCATAGGTATGTGCTTATACATACGCTATTTCTCTTCAATTCGACGTAGCTGAGTTTAGAGGTCAAGCCCGAGTTGTATAAATACGCAATTCTTTCGTTCATTTAATATTAAATGAATAAAATAAAAAAAAGAACAAACAATGACGGCTGTTTTCATTGAAATATATACCTTTTTGATGACTTTCAATAAGACATGAAAAGACAATTGAGAAAAAAAATTTTTTAATTGACAACCGATCGATTTAAAACAAATTGCAATACATACTTTGACAACGACAAAAGCAATTACCCACGAGTGCATACCGAATAAGCGACGATAATCGTTAGAAACTGTAAACGTATTTATATACATTATACAAGCGAGTGCAGCAATATATAGATCGGGGGGGGGGGACCTACAAAGTCTACATTATGTAAACAGTGGACGGACATAGCGTGAAAAAAAAGAAGAAAAAAAAAAAAAAAAAAAATCAATAGGCAGGTAGAGTAGGCACTTGGAGTACACCGCAGCGGCAAATATATTTATAACCAGGACGCTGAAAACACAAAATCAAAGTTTCGAAGGGAAACTAAGTGGAGCGAGAGAGCGCATACGTGTAATAGCCCCGATCGCCAACAATAGCCGCATCAGATTTTTTTACTAGGTATGACACACTGCATTTGTATGGTATACATTCGTGTAGGGTATACCTGTAGACCTCGTAGAGTATGTCGTCGAGTATGACGGGCCCGATGTCGGGCTTATCGAGCAGGGAGATGAGTATCCGGTAAGGCTTGAGGTCCTGCGGGTTGTCGGCGCATATGTTCCTGAGAGTCGCCTTGATTGCCTCGATCAGCATGTCCTTCGAGTACACCTCGAAGTAGGCGGCCGAGCTCTCGGCGGCCGCGGGATCGGCTTTCTTCTTCAGGATCGACGTGTTGACTTCCGTGCCCAGTAGCCAGGCGAACAACCGCCTGAGTGCGATTGTTTGACAAAAGAGAGAGAGAGAGAGAGGGGAAAAAAAAAAACACAATACCGCAGTGAATCATGATGATGATGAAAGAAGAGTCCTCCTTAGAGATAAAAAAGAAAACAGCATGTATAACGCGCGTGCTGGGTCATCATACCTGTTCAGGCTCATGTCGCGTCGTAATATCGTGGTGAGGGCGGCCGTGAGTATGTTGACCATGTCTTGGCGCGACAGTTGGCTATTGTGAACCGGAAAGCCCACGAGCAGCAAGTCCAAGGCGCTCCGTTGTACCAGCACCGAGTTGTCTTGAACTCCGGCGCACAGAGCGGCGACCTAAATTTTTTTTTTTTTTTTTTTTCTATTTTGTCATGTTTATACTTGGAGTACATGTTGTTGTTTTTTTTTTCTTTTCCCACCGTTTAAATGTACTCGGAGTGGACGGTAAAGTTTAACAATGAAGCGAAGGAGAAGAGAATGTCGCAACGTGACCTGTACACGCGTCCGTGATGGCTTTTGCGATTCCGAAGCACGCGCGCGTCTTGATGATTCGTACTTTCTGTACTTGGCGGTTGGGAAAAAAAAAAAAAAAAAATTAGGCTGATAAATGGTGATTTTTTTTTTCTTTCTTCTTAAAGAGCTGGAAGCATGAGATTTCGGCTTTTCTCTCCCGGCAATTTCGTAATCCGGCGATATGCCATTGCGAGATTAATGTTCGTAACGAGTCGGAGGTTTTTTAAAAACGTGCCGTTTGTACAAGAAAACTCGTTCGGTCAAGTTTGCGCGTACGATACTGGAATTAAGCGATAAAATTTTTTATGTTTTCACCGTTACCGATAAAGATATATGATTCACCGTCTCTTATCTTTTTCGCTTATTGTGAAAAATCCAAGCCTACTTGGGTTCGTCGAATAGAGTACGTATACTGACGTGTTATTTGTTTGAACAATGAAACCTACCATGATGTTGACATTGGTTCCCATGATGTAGAGTTGATCTTCCATGGTCGACTTTTTGTTAAAGTGCGACAGAGCAAACGATATGGCGGGCAGTCTGATTCCAGAATTAGAAGCCAAACAGTCCCACAGGCACGTGTAAAAATGTTCCGGACCAACTCCGTCGCAAACTTTTTCCAACAACGAATTGGTCCTGTCAAAGTGATCCGAACCCTCTTCCAGTCCTGGAAGGACCCCACTGAGAAAGCCACTCAAGCCAGGTCTCAGTCTTTCACCCAGAGGAACAAAATGTGTTTCGTAAACTGTTAGAAGTAATGGTCTCACGTTCATTGCTGCATTGCCCAACAGTGGAAAGAGACCTTTAACGATATAACTACAAGTTAAGCGGGGGAAAATTCGTGCAATGTATCAAAAAATTTATTACTATTTTTCAAAGTGATTGGCACAAGAGATTCCGTTTTAAAAAAAAGTCATATCAAACGCTTCTAAGTGGTCTGCATACCCTTAAAATAATTCTTACAAATAAATCAATATAGTTGTTAGTTTTTACTAAAATCTGGCTAAAACATTTAAAAAACATAAAGATTTTAAGAATCCGATTTTTTTTTTCTTTCAAACAAGTTCAAGGACAGTTACATGTACTAGAAAGCATTCATATGCGCTTGGAAATGTATACATTTCTACTGACAACCTGGCAACTGCCAGACTACTGTTGATTGAAATTCAAATTCAAGCCCATAAAATGTACTGACACAGATAAATAAGTTTTAAATTTAAATTTTAAACAACTACTTGTTTATTTTATAATAAAAAAAAAAAAAATAAAAATAAAAAAAAAACAACAAATAAATTTTCAACATAAAAATGAACATACCAGCACTGTAAATAAAAAGCTCGTGGCTTAATCTGTTTGTTCCCATGCATTTAAATATAATATCATAAGTTTCTAGAGCTTTTAGGTGAACTCCAGCTGGTAGGGCTGGATGCATACATTGAGCTAGCCTCTTGGAAATTTTAATCCTCCTTGGGATTACTGGAAATTTCATGTTAGTCAAGAGCACTTTGTTAAGCTTGCCCAGTGCAGATATTAAATCTGCCCATTCGCTGGTGTACTCAAAGCTTTTGAGTGCCTTGTCCACAGATGACACATAACTACAAGAAAGGCAAATATTATTTATTGCCCAAAGCTGATCATGCATGAAGACCTATTACTTTTACATCAATATCAACATTTGAATTGAAAAAGTTTGTTTGGTGTTTCTTTCACGAAAGCAAAACAATCCTTTGTATACCATCTTATCTATGCCAACATATCTTTTGTTTATCATTCTCCGTGATTGTGTGCCATAATTGTCATTAAAATACTGCATATGAACAGTTTAAATAATAAAAAGTAAGTACATATGACGAGGGAGTAATTGTCAAAGAAAGCATTTACTATAATGTCAATTACAAATTATTTTTTTCTCATCACATAGAAGTTAACATTGAAAACTGGCTCTAGAGAAATTGTTTAAAATACGTAGTAAAAAATAAAAAATTTGCTTAGTTTAAAAAAAAATATTTCCAATCATTTAGCATAGCAACAGACGATTTGTCATTGCTCGTAGAGTTAAGGCAGCCAGCAAAGCGACTCATTCACTCTGCTGGATTAACAAATGCTCAGCTACCTTCAAGGTTTCGATCTTGACATACTGTGACAACTGTTTTGTACTCTAATGTAACTTACCGCCAGCTTGAACCTCTCTTGAAAAACCAAACAAAACTACACCAATGAACAAACAGCAAAAAAACTAAAACACTGTGCACTTACACTCGATACTTTGAGTCCTTCATGAGTTCAAACTCTTCCAGAGCTATGGAACCCATCTTGACGGATTTTTCTCTCTAGACTTGTTGGGAGGAAAATAAACCAGCAGCAGCAGCAGCAGCAGTTGGAGTTTAGATCACTCGCACGTCCTGATGAGATTGCTGCTCTCCATCAGCATCCTTTCTCCTCTCTGCTGCTGTTCTTCTCCTTTGTCACTCATCAACTTTACAAGAGGTGATGCCACCACAGCTGATTTCATCAATCTGTATACACCAGCAGGAAAGAGACGCGCACGCTTTAAAAAAAAGAACCAATACCCATGCACAGCACCCACACACATATACACATCAGCAGCATGCAGAACTTGCAGAAGGAGCGAGAGACATTACACCGTGCAGTGCACCGTGACAAAATAGAATCATACGAAAAGCAAGAGGCTGAGAGAAACAGAGAGAGGGGCACCATGTCTGATGTAAGCGAGCAACAATGAGGGCAGAGAGAGGAAAAAAATTATAGCAATCGAGCTAGTGGAGGTGGAGGGAAGGAGTAGAGGACAAAAGGTGTACAAGTATGCACTACAACTACACAGTACACAGACTATTTCCCTACATGTAACTTATACAGTATATAGACTGTATTTACAACTACAAAGTTGTTGTTCCAATGTCAAAGTCAGTGTGCAGACTTGCAGAGTTATCTGCAGCAGCTGTTATATTATATAGGTATACCACAACACCAAAATGTTGTGATGGCATGCACCGATACACGTATCATAATGTTTATCACGATATGTGGGGGAAGAGCACAGATGACAGAGAGAAACAAACTGCTCTCAGCTGAAGCAAAGCACGAATAAGTATCAGCAAATGTAAATATAGCATGTCACAGAACTGACAGAACACGCACAATCCACGATCATGAACACAACACCACTCCTTTTTTTCATTCCTTCGATGTATCATTTACAATTAACATGCACACACGGTCCGTTATTTTGTTTTGTTTTGTTTTCTTTACAAAAAATATATCATGCATAATAAGCATGCAAGCACATTGTAAGAGCACCTGCAGTCATTGAGAGAAATTTTACAGAGAAAAAAAGCTCTTTACCCCCCAGAGCACAGTTGATTACTTCGGCAACGTTGGGTAAACTGTTCTGACTTTACACTTCTCGAATCTTTATACCTTAACTCAGCTAATGAACTGATTATTATTGAACATTAACATGCCACGCGTGAGAGATATGCGAAGGCGAAGCAGAGAGTAAAGAGGTAACGTGTCGTCTGCAGTAACGACGTCAAAAGAGAGAAGCTGACGGTGGTCGCGGGGTCGACCATCGACCATCGACGGCGGACGGTGACGTCGGCGACTGCTGCGAGCTGCAAACTGCGACTGATATGCATGTGAAAAAATAAAAAAAATAAAAAATGGTGCACGAATGATGTGCTACCTGCTACGTGCGACATTCTCTGACGGACGGTCTGAAAACTCGATATTAATATGGAAATATTGTTGTCTCTTGATATCTATGCTATATAATTATTTTTTCAGCATCTAATGTAATTTATATAATTAGATAAAGCGGTAATTGTCAAATGTAAATTAATATAGAGTGGAGGCGAATTTTGAAAGCTCCAGAGTCTTGTCTTAAAAAAAACTTATGTCTTCAATGTTTGACGAATTGACATTAGTTTGAACAATATCAGAGTAACCGACATCATTTCGACGGCTCCTACGAAGAATCGTACTCCAGAGGTTCCTACGAAGAAACGTACTCCCCGAGCCTTTCAACGAAGAATAGCATACGTCGGTATATTCCAGCGAAGAATCGTACGCGCAGATATATTCCGACGAAGAATCGTACGCGCAAATATTTTCCGACGAAGAATCGTACGCGCAGATATTTTCCGACGAAGAATCGTACGCGCAGATATATTCCGACGAAGAATCGTACAGGCCACTTCTTTCCGACGAAGAATCGTACGCCCAGATATATTCCGACGAAGAATCGTACAGGCCACTTCTTTCCGACGAAGAATCGTACGCCCAGATATATTCCGACGAAGAATCGTACACGCAGATATATTTTGACGAAGAATCGTACAGGCCACTTCTTTCCGACGAAGAATCGTACGCGCACCTATATACTGACGAATAATCGTACAGGCCGCTACAATAACATTTACATAAAAAATACAAGAATAACACTATGGTGCCATTATCGTTATTTAGTCACATATTGGTAAAATAGTTTAGTTATTAGGTAGGGTGTT